TACTCATCCATTACTAACAGTACTCTGAAGTCTTCCTCATTCATTGTAGATGATGTAGAGGTAGAATAAACGAGATTTTCTGTGATTTTTACTTGTTTTTCCTTTATTGATATGATATTACCATATACATTAATTACCGTATTATTGATGCAATATTACCGTATCCATGAACAGGCCATTGAGCATTTCAACTACCTTGTCCACTGCAAGCTTCATATCAGCAGCCTTATAGCATTTTTTCTGTATCTGTAAGCTTATAGGACGGCTTGTAATTTCACACCATTCCAATTGGGTTAAGTGAATTTACTATAAGAGAAAATCATGAAAAACATACCTGAAACTGAAAGGAATGTTTTAGTGACAACCATCATATGTTTTGGAGAAATAAATCATAGTTTAGGTCAATTACTTTTCATTCTATGATGCCTGGTGCACAATTCTATATATGACATTCTATGCACAATTTTGTGATGACCGACGATGCACTAATCTTTTGATAAGTGAAATTTTTTTCGCTGAGCAAGGTAAATGTAATCAATATTCTTTGTTTTTAATCATTTTTTTTCTTAACTGGAGACTTTGCTAACTGAGGTTCTACTGTAAATGCGTTTTTGGGGGTGTCCCGAATAGCTCCGGGGATATCCCAAGTAGCCCTGCTGTGCGGAAATGGCTGTCATTTTTTTTATTGCTGTATGTAAATTCCGCAAATAAAGTTTTCATGCTTACACTTGTCTGCCACTTTTTTCTAAGCAAAATCTTTTAATATGGCAAATTATTTTTTTACTACAGACCTTAGCAGAAGTAACTTTTCAAAATATCGTTTTTCATCATTTTTTTCAGGAATTTTTCAAAGCTAGTAAATGTAGTATTTTTGAACTTCCTTTATACTACATAGATAGGATAAATGTTGATGTTTACACCACTATATTTAGTTTTGCAATACCGTAAAATGGGGTTACTTTGACCGGCGGGGTAACTTTGACCACTTTTAGTTTTTTTAACAAAAACCCCCAAAACTCAAAAACGATTTGACATAGAAAAATTTTGTCAATGGCCATCAAAGGCCTAATACTGAGGCTACGTAACACAATAGAAAGATTTAAAAAGTTTGCATATCTAATAGGTTAAAAAATTGAAAATGTGACCCACGAAAATGAGCTATTATTTAAAGCCTGTCAGAGTACCCCCTCCAATTTTTTTATTTTTTGGTAAAATAACTCCAGGTTTTGATGCATTGTAGTAGAACTCTTCTAGTTACAAATGCAAAAGATAAATTTTAGAAAAGTGTCATAGTTTGCAAATGGGGGCACCACCCCCCAATGGGGTAACTTTGACCACCTAATGGCAGCCGTGACGGGGTAACATTGACCGGCTTGGAAATTAAGTTAAAATTACCATAGGTACCTATATAACATATTTTATGTTTGATACACCTATTAATGTTTTTTTCTTTATGTTTCAGACTCTACAGAGTCTTATACATGGTAATTTTAACTTAATTTCCAAACCGGTCTATGTTAATTTGTCTTTTGCATATGTAACTAGAAGAGTTCTACTACAATGCACCACAATCTGGAGTTATTTGGAGTTATTTTACCAAAAAATAAAATTGATTTTACCACCCGGTCAAAGAAACCCCAAGAGCTGGGGTAACAAAGACCATCACTTTTTTTGAAATTACCTCAAAACTATGAGAGGCAGGAGCCAGCAATTTATGGTGAGTAAAGCTAGAGTATAGACCTGTATTTTGCAGGTTTCAATTTAAGTTTAACTTCTCTAGTAAAAAAATGGCATCATTTTGAAAAAAGTGGTCAAAGTTACCCCATTTTACGGTATTCCAATTAGTTTTGCTATTAAAACAGTTTTATGCTGTGTTGGAGGACTGTCCCGAGTTACCCCACCTGTCCCGAGTAGCCCCGGTTGATGGTAACTGTTGCAATGTCATACTTCCCGCAGCAACATTGGCATTGATAACCGTAATTTGAAAGCAGTTGCTGGTTAGCTTTCATTGGGTGAAGGCACGCGAGTTTTGCTCCTGCAAAATAGCTTTGCAGGGCATCATGTTCAACTGTTATTGGTGGTGTGATTTGTTTTTAATTCATAAATGTTCCTTCATTCTTGATTCTTTCAAGTGTAACTTTAATCCCTCCTATTTTTATCCTTTTTATCTTAACTAAAATTTTTTAATTGAAAAAGTGGTGAAGGTGGATCAAAAATAATACATAAACCCGTATTTTTAGAATTCCATCCTGGTCAGAAGCCATCTTCACAGATTCAGCAAGAGCAACTTGGAGTCTCTGATCAATGTGTATGGGCTATGAGTAACTGTATGTGATGGTGCAACACTCTGTGGATTACAGATACAATTGAACATTACACTACCTGCTGGCTGCTGCATTGTCAGGGTCATGACTCTTGGGCAGCCCAGACAAGAGCTGAAAACTAATTCAAGATGTATAAATTTACAATTTTTTTCTGCATGAACTGTTGGATGGAGGGGACAACAATGATGATGTTCACGTATAAAGGAAAATCTTTTGATTTTTGACTGTATACATTTTTAAAGTCAGGTAGACTCCAATGAGGAAAATATGTACTCTTTTAACCACAACTGCATTTTTCAAGCTGTTGTTTTATGGATTTGCAAGCTGTGATTGTATTTCTTTGAGCTGTAAATTCCATATCCAGGCCATGAAGAGCCATTTAAAAGCCTCAAACTCATTTGAAAAGTCCCCTCTTGTCTTGTTACCCCAAATCTCTAATCTTACCCTAGAAACAGCAATAATAACATTTGTCTTTACTTTGTGACTAAACACGTGATAATCAGAAAATGCAGTTTGACAACTGATGTGACAATAACCATGTACGTAATCTCCTACAAAAGCTTTTGGGTTCACTCATTATGCGGGATATTTTGGCTGGAGTGTGGTACTAAGTAGTGCAGAAGTTGAAAATTTAATGAAGTGACGATGTTGGTGAACAGCGATTTCTTCAATCAAACAAAAATACATTACAATAGACCCATAAGATTTCATACCTACCTGAAATTATATGTATTAGAACTGCAATATTTTAGAAAAAAGTAGGACTTTTTTCAACTGGGATAGGCTTAGCTGCTCAGATCCCCTTAATGAAGTTTTGACGGGTATGCCAAGATGGAAATGCAGCTTGTAGTGACAAACCACACATTTCTTAGAATCAGTTTATTTATAATTTCCTCATCAACTCAAGATTTAATCCAATTCCTTATTTATGATATTGCTGGTATGAGTGGTATCCAGCATGGAATTCTGGATAGGTATTATATTCTCATATTTATCATCAAACAAGGTAATAGGGGATGGGTGGGCTAAATTGGGACAGTCCTTCGCCATGGCATAAAAATGTTATAGCAGCAAAACTAATTTGAATATTGTAAAATTAAATTAGTGGTGTAAACTTCAACTGTTTTCCTATCTATATGGCATAAAGGAAGTTAAGAAATCATACATTTACTAGCTCTAGAAAGTCACAGAAAAAATGTTGAAACATGATGTTTTGAAAATGTACTTCTGTTAAGGTCTGTAGCAAGAAAAATATTTATCGTATCAAAAAATTTTGCTTAAAAAAAGTTGCAGACAGGCGATAGCTTTGAAACTTCACCAACAGAATTTTTTTTAAACTCAACAATGCAAAATGGCAGCCATTTCTGCTCAACTGTGTATTAAGGGACACCCCCAGGGTAATACAGGACACCCCCAGGGTAATACAGGACACCCCTGAAAATGCATTTAAAGTAGAACCTTGCTTAGCAAAGACTCCAGTTAACAAAGAAATAAATTAACAAGAAAGAATTTTGATTACATTCACCTTGTTCAGCAAAAAAATTTTGCTTAGCAAAAAATTGATATGGTACATTGTTGGTCATCACAGAATTGTGTATAGAATGTCATATATGGAATTGTGCATCAGGCAACATAGAATGAAAAGTAATTAAGCTAAACTATGATTTATTTTTCTAAAAAATGTGATGGTTATTGCTGAAGTATTCTTTTCTGTTTCAGGTATGTCTTTTACAATCTATTTTGTTGTAGACCCGATTGAAATGGTGTGAAATTACAAGCCCTGTCCTGTAAGCTTACAGGCACAGAAGAAATGCTATACAGCTGCTGATATGAAGCTTGCAGTGGACAAGGTTGTTGTCAATGCTCAGTGGCATGTCCATGGACCCGTAATGTCACATCAATAATACGGTAAAGTATGGATATGGTAATATATCAATAAAGGAAAAACAAGTACAAATCACAGAAAATGTCATTTATTCTACATCTACATCATCTACAAAGGGAAAGGAGGACTTCACTTTTCTGAGTACTGTTGGTAATGGATGAGTACAATCTGCATGCTTCAAACTTTTTAAAATTAAGTTTTATTTCAATTGCCCTGTTCTCAAAGGTAATTCAGGATGCTTTTCCTTTGTGTCTGGTACCTTATGAATACCATAGCATATGGAATTTTTGCGAGATGCATACCAAAGCCCTCACAAAGACCTTTAAAATGAGCCCAAACTTGTTTATGAAATGTTTCATGGTAAGAAGTTATTATTGAAAAACACTCAATATTGTCCCTTATTACCCCATTTGACAGTATATGCAGCACTCTTTGACAGAGGTGCTAACTGATGAGCAAGCTACAGAGGATTGGTTTTGTTTTCTTCTGCCCGATCTTGATTTGATTAAGAGTATCCTTTGTTGGCGGGAAAATAATATAGGAGGTAAACCTTATTATTGGCAGACATACTGCATTGATTGGATTTTAAATTGCTCTAGAATGAGGAATAGTTAGTTGAGTATATAATTGTTTTGCCTCTTTAATAGTCACTGCCTCCCCTTCAGGTTATTCAACTGTGCCATACATAACTGTCTGCATACCGGTATTATGGGCTGCTATCCATGATAACTGGCTTTAAAATTTAATATCCAGGTCTTCTGAAATAAATGAAGCATATGTTTCTGACATTATTTTATGAATTGGTATTGTATTACTTTAGGTTAATTATTTTGTAAACTGGATTTAATCATCGTGGTTTGTTACCTATTTCAATGGAGTTTGAGTATGATTATGAAGAGGAAGATCCTGCTGATTATTATGAATATGTGAGTATATTTTCTATCCATACATATATATATTTGTCAATAAAAATTGATGATTTTCATTAATTTTGTGTAGTAAGCAAAAGTAAGGTTTAGCATGAATTTACTGATTCTAAATAGGCAAAATAGGTGGCCATTCTCATTATCTCTATTTTAGGTGTGTGGAAGTTTTAGGCAATTTAAATTAAAAAAGCAAGCATGCATGTTAAGCAAAATTTTTTAATGCTTAAATTTTTCATTGCAGTTGTTGTCATTGCCCAAGCATTAACAATAAATTCACCAGAAGTTGCTCTAGGAGTTGCTCATATGTATGCTTAAATAATTTTTTAAATGCTCCTGTTTCTCTTGAATTTATGCCAAAACTAAATAGAATTTTTCTTTTTGTGTGTATTTTAACTATTATTTTTTCAAAATTATGTTGTAGATAGAAATAAAAAATTTGAAAACTAATGGGTTTTCATTTTCAATTTCAATAGTGGTTCCATATGATTGGTGATAAAATTTCTATTTCTAATTTGAAACTTATTCCTAGGATTATGCTGATCTCAGCCAAGAGATTGGCTTCCTAGAAGATGATGAAGAATGGGTAGAAGAGAATGAACAAGAAGGTAATGGGGAGGGCGGGCTGAGTGACTTGACTGCTGCAGAGTTGCTGGAGTTTTGCGTGTGGCCAACCCTGTCCTCTACAGCTCCACACCTTACAGCTCTTCTGTTGTGGGTGCTCATCTTTACCTTGGCTACTCGCTCAGGTAGTCATGGAGCAATAATATAAAGTTTAAATTAGTTGCAATGAAATAATAATTATACCCTCAACAACTGAAGAATTTCATGGCTTCAAGTGATTACAAAAGATGAGTTAATATTTATCAAGTATACCGTAGCTTTTATTGATTCAACACATTATGTATATCTCTCATGAATTGGCAGAATAAAAATATGTCTCATAATTTCAACCTATAAAAATGAAGCATAGGAGTGGTTCTAATTAGTTATATTGTAACCAAAGATGAGTTGCTATTTATCAAGTATACTGTTGCTTTTATTGATTTAACACATTATGTATATCTCTCATGAATTGGCAGAATAAAAATATGTCTCATAATTTAAACCTATAAAAATGAAGCATAGTAGTGCTTCTAATAAGTTATATTATATACCAAACCACTCTTGTTAGGTGCTAAAACATGTCACAAGCAGTATTTTTGCTCTATATGCATTCTGACATTGCAACTTGTACAAATGTAATTTCCGTTAAATGTCATTGATGCCCTGCAACAGTCAATTTTACTTCTCAATGGCTTCATATAAATATTTTACTGTACAGTCCTGCAACTAACTCATTGTTATAACATTTGAGAAGAAAAGTATCACAATATAAAGGAAAATTAATTTCAAATTATTTGTGAGTTTGTTTCCTAAAATGCAATAGTTGATATTAGATATTCACACTATTTGGTTGGAATAAATTACCAATGCATAAATCGGTATTTAGTGTATTATTTATTATGGCAGTGCGTGTACCGGCTTGCGTAAGCCACGCTCTGAGCTGCATCAGTGGCTGTGGCCTGGCATGGCAAGTGTTTGGGTGGCGGTCCCTCTACTTAGGTGGCCAGGTGGTGGCCGGCTGCCTGAGTGTTGCTGTAGTGTCACTGCTGTCCAAGTTGCGCGTCTCGGTGATGCAGCGTGCATGGCCGTGGCTTATCACGTTGCTCTGCCTGGCATACCTCCTGGTCTGGTGAGTCCAGTTTCTGTTGCTGTACCTTCATAACCTGTACCTTTAACCCTCTAACGCCGTATGTCACTCACGGATCATGACTTTTAATTTCAATTTTATATAACTAACCTTCATAACTTGCTCAACCCTCTAACGCCAATGTCAATCTCCCAGACTTTTAATTTAAATTATATGTAAACTATTGACTGCAGAAACTTGAGGCCAGTTGTCCGCTGCAGAGAACATCTTCTACAGAGAACAATTTCTAGTTGGTGACTACAGTACATTTTTTTCCTTGCCTTACCTGTATTGTTTATTCCTCCTCACTTTATAACAATCCTGATCATAACAGAACATACCATATTTACATGTAATATTTTAGCTGTATGCCTGCTGTTGCTTATGAGTGACATGTACATATGGTATTTTATTGACTTCTGATGTCAATTGTTCCCCCTGATGGACATGTTATATATTTTTTAATCATGAAATTAAATTTTACATGGGATAGATATGGTGCTATTGCATTGCAAATGAAACAAAAACAATGAAATTGAAATTATTTCTTCATGACTTCGTATTTCAGGCGGTAAAAGGTTAAGTACATGCAGCAGAAAATTTTTTTGCCTGTGATTGTTGTGCACAATTTTAAAAGCCGTCAGTAACAGGCTGACAAAGTTATAAACTTGTAAATATTTTTGATATTTCGGCAAATAAGTGCATAATGACTAAAGATTATGGCTGGTTTCCAAAGTTTAACAGTAAAAATTATTCTCTGGTTTTAATCAAGTTTGCTCAACTTCTGCCAGAGTATACCTACCAACAACTCAGTTATGTGCACAAAAACTCGCCTATAAAGCATATGAACATATATTTTACAGGTGTGCAAATGACATATGATGTTGTACAAGCTGTTATTGTGAACTGAACATACAGAAAGGTAATATTCCTTATATTATCAACGTTCTCTATGGTGTAATCATAACTTCAACTTGTTTCAAATTTTCTATTTCATTGTAAATTTACTTTTCAAAGTGCACCTTTGTGTGTTTGTTTTACTATTTTGTTCAGTGTCAACCATTGTTGTTAACTTAGTTTAGTTTTCAATGCTGATTTTCCTGTTCCAGTGAACTTTGGTGGGTGGAGGCGACAGTATGGCATTCCATTCGCGGCGCTCAGATGATCATCCTAATGAAGATCTTATCCTTTGCTCACGACACGTTCTCAACAAGCACGAGCAATGATGGTGATAAAAAATCGCTTCCTGAATCTCCTCAAGTAAAACAGTCTTCACCTATAGTCCAAGATGATCATTCAGTTGATGGTGAGACCGACTCTTTAGATGACACTATTTCTGCAAATTTAGAGAAACCAGCTTTCGACAATCCTAAAATACAACGTCCAACAAAAGCCAACAGTGTGTCAGGTGATCTCTCTGCTTCTACAGTGAAGAATTCTAGCCATGCAGACTTAGTCAATAGAAAAATTCCGAATGCCAGGTACAAGTCTAGTCATTCATCTCAATCAGACACTGAGCAAGTCTGCGTTGCTGCTGCGGATGCAAATCTGTCATTGTGGTGCAGCGTTGGTCACGGCGTTGAGTTTTGTGGGTACCTGCTGCATCCAGGCTCCCTAGTGTTCGGCCCCTGGTGCTCCGTGGACACATACCGTCAGATCCTGCAACCCATGAGCTGGGTTAGTGGTTCCATCAGGTGCAGCTATCAAAATAATTAGGAATTTATTGATGTCAGCTACACGGCCGATCAACGATCTTGGGCTGCCCATGTAAGGAGGTAATGATTCTTCATTATTTTATCTACTTTATGAAGAGCTTGGCTCCAGTTTGTTTAGATTCAAAGCTTTTGAACTATTACGGTATTCTATGTTAGCCCAAGTCACAACCTAAACTGTAACTTTAACATCAGTTAAAACTTTGTTGTTAGTTTAATTAGCATACTGTATTTTTCACAGTGAAATATAAAATGAACCTACATTAGTCTTAATTTTTATTATTTTTATTATATATAGACACAGTATGTTTTTTGAGACGATAATTTTATGTTCAATATTATTTTGTCATAAATCAACTCAAAAGTCCATAAAACCAGTTATGAAAATATTAGTCATTGCTTAAAGCCTACAGTCTAGCGTGTGACACATGGGGGGCCAAGTCCATAGACTTTTCTCTATTTTGTCAGGTTGTGCGCCAGTTGATCTTTTAGCTCATTAAGTTGACTCAAGTCTTGACATTCTTAACAAATGAAGGCTGGTAATGAAGGAAAAAATATCAAACCCTCAAGGTATATATAATTTTAAAGGCAATATTCAAATCACAAAAATTTTTACATACAAAAATTTTACACAAAAGCACTGTGGTTTTTTTTCTAACACACTTGTTTATTTTTGTGCACATGTGTTTTTTTTTCAATTGCGAATAATCTAACTTTTCAACTCAAAACTAGTAGGTAAAGCTTTACAAGCCTGGCAATTTTTGAGTATATTCAATACTAGTAGTATTCATGAGGTTTGGTGTACAAATTTTCTAGTGCTAAGTTCAATTCTTGAAAAAATATGGGGATAACTGATTTTTTTTAGAGTCCAAGACTACAGTTTTAGATCACTATTTACCACTGATTATAAAAGAGCAAATTCTGAGTGTTTGTTTGCACTAATCCCACGCTTTGTGTAAATGATAAGATGATACGAGTCATACGACTGTAGCTATTAATCTAGTTTGAGCTTTTAGTGTTGGATTCTGGTACTTTTATTGCACTTTTTAGCTTTGCTTCACAGACACGGTGAGTATTTCATAAAAGATGAGCAACACAAGCTCATCCTTTGAGCCTCTTTCTATGTACGTGTTTAAAACATGATTTTTGAGTGTTTGTGGAGCCTCTTCCCTGGAACTGGTCAGTTTGGGTTCATCTAAAAATGAGCTTGCATGTTTTTAGTTTTCATTTGACTTCAGTTGGATACGTGCCGATTTTCCTGGTTTTCTTTCATTGTTAAAGCGACAGCATACATTTGAATTATTTAAATCATTTCTGGTTATATCAATTCAACATTCAACATGCTTGAAACATGCATGCTGATTGTGATGCTATCTTGATTGCGATTTTCCCTGGTTTATTTATCGGATATTTCTTATAAAGTTTTGTTTGAGATTAGGTGTGACTAGATATGATGATAATTGCTTATGAGTTACCTACGTCAAGTTTATCATAAACAAAATCTTTGCTTTTGTTGGTGGTTCGTTGCATACAAAAACATTACTTATGGAGTTTCAGTGACTAAGTGGAAAATATGAAATCCTTTTTTGTGGACTTTGGTATTACAAATGGAGTTTCATTGACTAAGTGGGAAATGTGAACCCCTTTTTAGCGCATTTTCTCATTTATGGAAAAAATGCACTATTGTGCTCGCCATATCCGTCTGTCTGTCTGTCCGTCCGTCTGTCTGTCCGTCCGTCTGTCTGTCCGTCCGTGACCTCAAGTTTTCGTCGACGAGAAAATGCGCTCTCTGTCACTCACTGCAGTGAGTACTGAGTTATATTTTTTCTTGGACTTTGGTGCTACAAATGTCACCTTATACTGGTGCCAGTTTTGCGAGCGCGGCGTGATATTTTTGTGTGCGTTTTTCCAAGGGCAATTCGATCCATTCATGCACGTTTTTATGTGGGCTAATTTTGTGTGATGTGTCTTACGCGGTCGGCCACAGAACTTGGCGTGGCTGCTTAAAGTCTTCGGCAACCTCTTCCTGAGCTGCACCTGCCTCATTGCCTCCACCTGCCTCGCTGCCTGGCTTGTGCCTGCCTCATCAGCCAGGTAAGTTGCCTCCACCTGCCTCGCTGCCTGGCTTGTGCCTGCCTCCTCAGCCAGGTAAGCTGCCTCCACCTGCCTCGCTGCCTAGCTTGTGCCTGCCTCCTCAGCCAGGTGAAATGGCTCCACCTGCCTCACTGCCTGGCTTGTGCCTGCCTCCTCAGCCAGGTGAAATGGCTCCACCTACTGCCTCGCTGCCTGGCTTGTGCCTGCCTCCTCAGCCAGGTGAGTTGCCTCCACCTGCCTCACTGCCTGGCTTGTGCCTGCCTCCTCAGCCAGGTGAGCTGCCTCCACCTGCCTCACTGCCTGGCTTATGCCTGCCTCCTCAGCCAGGTAAGCTGCCTCCACCTGCCTCGCTGCCTGGCTTGTACCTGCCTCCTCAGCCAGGTAAGCTGCCTCCACCTGCCTCGCTGCCTAGCTTGTGCCTGCGTCGTCAGCCAGGTAAGCTGCCTCCACCTGCCTCGCTGCCTGGCTTGTGCCTGCCTCCTCATCCAGGTAAGCTGCCTCCACCTGCCTAGCGTGTGCCTGCCTCGTCAGCCAGGTAAGCTGAGGCCACCTGCCTCGCTGCCTGGCTTGTGCCTGACTGCACTGAGGGATCTTCTCTGCAACTCCTCTACCATATCAGAGTCAGAAGGAATAGTGGGTGGAACTGTGTGGCTCTTAATTTGCGTGTTTCTTTCATTTTTCAGTTGGGTGTTTGTCAAGTAGTGTGGAACTGCTTCTCGATTATCACCATGCAATTTTCCCTAAGATTATGTAATTAATTTCATTGATCGCCTAGTGTTTTGTTGCAGATGGTCTCTGGCATACCGTGACGCGCTATCGTTCCGCCTGAGCCACTACTTCGTGTGCCACATGAGCGAGGCCTCGGCCCTGCTGGGGGGCCTGCACGTGGGGCCCGTGGCCCGGGCCCACCACATAGAGCTTCCTCGATCCATGCTCTCCGTCGTCACCTATTGGAATGTCCCCATGCACACCTTCCTCAAGAAGTGTGGGTGCTGCGCTGTACATGTAGTCCTGCGCTGTACATGGAGTCCTGCGCTGTACATGTAGTCCTGCGCTGTACATGTAGTCCTGCGCTGTACATGTAGTCCTGCGCTATACATGTAGTCCTGGGCTGTACATGTTCGATTAGATGGGCGGTAATTCTGATTTCGATTAAATTATACCGTATAGAACGTAGTTGAGGGTGAATTGATAACTTTCTTGATTGGAGCGTCGGTAATTTTGATATTAATTATACCGTATAGAACGTAGTGTGAGGGTAAAGTAATTAATAACTCGAGTTATTAATTACTTCACCCTCAAACTACGTTCTATACGGTATAATTTAAATCAGAATAACCGACGCTCTAATCATGTAATCCTGCTGTCCCTGGGATGCTTTGGTGCTGTACCATGTGGTTAGGAAACATGTCGTCCCTAGACGTGACATGCATTTTCATGTTTCGGTGACTTTTACTTCATCATTTTATTCCATATATAGACGATGGTTGTTCAACCTTATCCTAATTTTTTGCCCTCTAATTTTGAGGAAAACCAATTCATCATCAGCACGTGCGCAATTTTAGAGATAAACAAAACGATTTAAATAGAACAAATATCCATCATAATCATCTTATCCGCTGTCTACTATTTTTATTCATCACGTATTACAGTATAAGTAACTGTGCACTTGTCCGCATCGCACTATTTTATTCATTACTGTACTATTTTACTAATTACTTTACAAACATTTCTACTAATTTCTTTACAAACTTTTTACTTATTTCTTTACAAACATTTTTACTAATTTCTTTACAAACTTTTTACTAATTTCTTTACAAACTTTTTACTAATTTCTTTACAAACTCTTTACTAATTTCTTTACAAACTTTTTACTAATTTCTTTACAAACTTTTCACTAATTTCTTTACAAACATTTTTACTAATTTCTTTACAATCTTTTTACTAATTACTGTTTCATTGTTCTCAGACGTGTTCATGCGGGTGCGTGGTGCTGTGGGCGTGTGGTGCGCAGTGCTGTGCACCTACTCCACCTCGGCCGTCATTCATGGCCTCAACGGGCAGCTGTGCCTCGTGCTCCTCAGCCTCGCCGTCTACACCCACGCCGAGCACCGCCTGCGCCTCAAGCTGGCATCCGCCTTCAGCGCCTGCGTCCTGGCCAGACCTTGTGGCCTCTCCTGCACCCACCTTAATAAGGGTGAGGGGTGGTGGGGGTAGTGACCTTAATAAGGGTGAGGTGTGCTGGGTGTAGTGACCTTAATAAGGGTGAGGGGTGCTGGGGGTAGTGACCTTAATAAGGGTGAGGGGTGGTGACCTTAATAAGGGTAAGGGGTGATGGGGGTAGTGACATTAATAAGGGTGAGGGGTGGTGGGTGTAGTGACCTTAATAAGGGTGAGGGGTGCTGGAGGTAGTGACCTTAATAAGGGTGAGGGGTGGTGGGAGTAGTGACCTTAATAAGGGTGAGGGGTGGTGGGAGTAGTGACCTTAATAATGGTAAGGGGTGCTAGGGGTGGTGGCCTTAATAAGGGTGAGGGGTGGTGGGGTGGTGACCTTAATAAGGGTGAGGGGTGGTGGGGGTAGTGACCTTAATAAGGGTGATCCTGCACTGACCTTAATAAGGGTGAGGGGTGGTGGGGGTAGTGAGGGTAGTGACCTTGATAAGGGTGAGGGGTGGTGGGGGTAGTGACCTTAATAAGGGTGATGGTGCTGGGTGTAGTGACCTTAATTAGAGTGAGGGAGGATGGGGGTAGTGACCTTAATAAGGGTGAGGGGTGATGGGGGTAGTGACCTTAATAAGGGTGAGGAATGAGTGTGTTGAGGGTAAGAAGTGACCTCATCAAGGGAGAGAATTTGGACAGTGAAGACTCATAAGTCTGACAGAGGCGCGGTTGTCTTGTGTAGGTGAGGTGTGGGGGCATTGATGTCCAGAAGGTTAATCCTGCTAGGGGTAGAGGTTTGTAGATTAAATTGTCTGATATCCAAAACATAATGTGTATATCGGTAAAATTTTGCTAAACAATGTAGTTGAAATAAGTTGAGGACACACCGATAAACTTGTAAGTCGCCGAAGTGCAAAGGCTGTATTCGATGGACGTTGCAGGTTACAGCGTGAGTAGCCTGACGATCAACACATTAATGGGCGCGCTGTGCATGTGGCATCTCGCGTACCTCGGCGTCATGTTCGACTCAGGACCTGACAGCGTGAGCGGCTACAGCGTCGGCCACACCCTCGCCAAGTGGGCGAATCTTGGTTATGCCAGCCACTGGGTCGTCCTGGCCACTTATGTCTTCACTTCTCTGGTCTAGTGGCTGCGCCAGCCACTGGGCCAGGGTCGTCCTGGCCACTTATGTCTTCGCATTTCTGGTCTAGTGGCTACGCCAGCCACTGGGTCGTGCTGGTCACTTATGTCTTCGCTTCTCTGGTCATCCAGGGAAGCGATCCTCATCCCTTCGCTTCCTGGCTCATATTATAGAGGTTTCATGATGCTGGTGTTGTATCTTTTTGTAAATGCAAATATATATAAGTTCAACTTTGACACTGCGTTAGTGTTTTGAAAAGATGAAAAGTGGAATCAACATCGGGAAACTTCTTACTGCGAATATACACATTTCTTCCTATTTCTTTAACCTGAAGTTTCTATATGAGTTTGAGTCATGTCTCGATACGAGTTATTTAAAAATGTTTCGGGATATGCGATGGGGTGTTTAATGAAGTAATTTGATAAGTATAACTCAAACATTTGTTTCACGGAATCAGCAAAACTATGGGAGCCTCCAATTTGAAAAAAAAACGTTCCATTGAAACGTTCATTTTTTATTACCGTACACATTTCATATGTGAGTAAGATTGAATTATTGAGAAGATGTAATTCCTGCATGCAAATTGCTGTTATATGAGTCTCCTTGAATTTCCAATTAACATTCGCAGTTGCTACTTCCTTGCTTGCGAGTGGTAGCTGCGATGGAGTATACGACGTTCGTTTAATTGGAACTGCCTCGACCAGCGCATGTACAGCACCGTAGATAATGTCTCTACGTGAGCACATGAACAAACTCATTAGTACTTCTTTAACCCGCGGTCCTTTCGATTTCACTCGTTATTTCACGATGAAACTATGCCGCATTCTTGTAAATCTAAGAGGTCTTTAGTTCCAACTTTAATGCCTTGTAATTTTTGTACCAGTGGTGTCTCGAAGTCATCTGGTCACAATGCAGATGGCGAATGAATATCCATTGGGACTATTCTGAATCGGAGCAACGTTATTATTGGACATTTAAACCTCATTTCAAGTTTTACTGGTCATGTGAAACGTTGTTATTTATGAAGAGTCATATGTTTCCAGTCATTAAATGTGATCTGACTAATTGATAGTTACCGTAAGCTTGTGCTTTTATATATATTTTTGTATCCATTATAGGCATGTATTGCGTCTGATGTAAACTGGACTTGTGCGTCAGGTCTTCGAAGTTTCAGTCGGAAACTGCAAATTATTGCAGTGTTGCATGCTGTCCATTAATGTTGAGAGTCAAGCACGTGACTTGTTGGGAACAGATGAGTGCACTTATTGAATTATTATTTTATCATTAGGGAGAGTCCGTCAAACTTTCTATGCTTGCATGCCTTGCTTGCAATTCATACCATTATTTTTTCCGATTTCTAGTTTATTAATGCTTACTAACTCCTTTTGTTACACTAACCCTAACATACGCTGAGGGCTTTTGACTGACTTCTGTAGTTATCCGTAAACTTTTTGAACACCGCAAATAATTTTTCAGTTCTCGTCATTCACTTCTTTGCTTCTAAGCCTTGCAATTTTAAATATTCAACTTGTCATTTTCCCGTAAACTCGACGCAAAGATAGTATGTATATCATTAAGTAGTCTCACGTATCATCCGTTTCTAATGAGATGAATTCTACTGGGGAGACGATTATTAAGTGGCTCGAGTAACTCTGTGCTATATCCATATTACTTGTTGCAGAAACACTTATGGGCATTTGTTTTAGTCCTAATGAAACGAAGACAATATATATTTCGACTTACACACTCCACGCTTCCAGATTCGTATTAGCGTAAAATTAAGTATACCAAAGAAGCCGACCTCTAGTATAAAGCACACTGGCTGGCGGTGCTTTTTTCCCCGTTTTGGAGTGACTTCGAAGTAACTCCCCTCAAAGAAGGAGCTATATCAAGGATCTCTTGTACAAGCTGCATAGCATAGTGACAAACCAGATATTTTTTTTACAATCAGGTCATTTTTAATTTCCTCTAATAATAGATTTAAAGCATTTTTTTATGTATGATAATACTGGTTTACATTGATATTTATTGGTATATTTATAGGACTCAAAAATGAAGTTAAGAAAGAGTCTAACTAAGTCTTTGCTTTGACACCAAGCTGTCAAGTTACTCCAGTAACGGGAAGAAAAGCACCGCCAGCCAGTGTACTGGTACTCGAGGTAGGCTTCTTTGGTGCTTAATTTTACGCTGATATGAATGTGGTAACGGTGGTGTCTTGGAGGTGGCACCACTTTGAGGGGAGAAAATTAATCCCCGAGCCTTGTTATGACTTTTCATTCTCATTGGTGCGCTTGCACTTAGTTGTTGGCAGAGGTTATTCTTCGGAGGCAAACCAGTATATTAAGGATGCAAGATTCTGCGTGCCATAATTGTTATTTCGTGCACTTGTGTCGCGCTGAGCCATTTAGTTTTATAATATTCTACTACTTGAAGACGTTACTGTACAATTAGAATATTTTTTACATGATTAGAATGTGGAAACTATGATCACGTCCGCGATGCGCGTCTCAACAGCCACTAGGTCGCCATGACGCACATACGAATACCAGCTTCAATGTTAGCATTAAGTTTTACGATCGAAACTTCGATATTATTGACATTATAGTGTCGTAGTGATAGTATAGCACCCATTGAATATTTCACGATTCTCACTGATTTTAATGTTTAACCTTATGCCTATTCAGCGTCGCCTATACTATTCGTACATAAATGCCTAGGACCGAAGAGGTTCTGTCAGGACACGAAGAGTTGAGTTGCACGGTACTTGTACCATCATATTTTTGTTGGCTCTTCTCATTTACAATATTAAACTTGCTGTTCGAATTAATTGCTTGTTTAAGAGAATCGATTGGGTAGGACTAATATTGTTAGCCGATTTTATGCCTTAAGATGCACATCTTACACAGAGCGTTTATACTCGGTTCACTGGGAAAAGTTTCACGGTAGTCAGTTTAAATATTCAAATGTAGAACAAGGTAGCCGCCCTGCTAAATTAACCATGGAATTCCGGGAAAACCGCGTAAGACTTCAGTTTCAGAAGAAAATTCTCGCTATCCTCTACAGGAACCCCAGTTCCATATTTATTTGAACGTCGCTTCGATTTTCAATGATGTATCGCAGCATGTGATACAACATACAGTGGGGGGAAATAAATATTCGTACACTTGAAAAATCGTATTTTAATGTATGTAAGTACACAAACTTAACAGGAAAAGTGATTTAAATTATGTATAGAGACGCATAGTATTCAAAAATACTATCAAAAGAAATTAAATCTCAATGCAACAAAAAACAATGCAACACGTTCACTTTTCGGGTGAAAAAAGTATTCGTACAAAACAATAAATACAAGTATTAAATTAAAATAATGCGGATTTATTGTTTTGTACGAATACTTTTTTCACCCGAAAAATGAACATGTTGCATTGTTTTTTGTTGCATTGAGATTTAATTTCTTTTGATAGTATTTTTGAATACTATGCGTCTCTATACATAATTTAAATCACTTTTCCTGTTAAGTTTGTGTACTTACATACATTAAAATACGATTTTTCAAGTGTACGAATATTTATTTCCCCCCACTGTATATATTTTTAGCCGTCTTCAACTACATTCTAAGTTTAAACGGAGTTAAAAATACTTCACTGGAATCTTTGATAGATTCTATAGTCAACAAAATGCTACTTTAGGGAATAAATGTGTTCATTGATGCAGGGAACGAGAATGGTAGCTGGAACTGTGATAGTAGAAATGGGCCATTCTGCACCATTTTAGGTAGGTAACTAGAATGTCGGTCTCTGTAGTCACGTCAAATCTAATTAAACATTTTTACCGATACAGGGTCTCTTTCCTTACCTTAAGCTACGGAAACAGATGATAATCATTGACCTCTCTTTCAATATTTCTAGCTTAGAAACTAAAATGAATCCACGTCAAAAAATTTCGTATAATTTCAACACAAAGGAATCGAGGTGAGGCTGTTTAAATAAAAAATAACTTATTGCTTGAAGCTTGCACTACCATCAGGTTCAGAGATACTGGTGATCAATACATATTAATGTTCAATAAAACGTAACAATCATTGAAGCAGCACTTAAAATTTCACCCGCAACTTGAATAACATTTACATTCCGCATCACATGCTGCTGTTGGTGAATTGCTCACAATCTAAAACTTGCAGCCGTTCCAAAACAACCAAATTGAACCCATCTGAGGGTGCTCTGCTGCGACTTTTTCACAACAAACTTGCTTGACATTCAAGCATTGGAAAAAAATTCGTAAATGAACTTATGAAGCTAGGAGGATTAAAATCGTTGTTATGATATCAGGCGTAAACGTGAACAAACTAAATGAGAGCGTTCGCCACAAGGATCCAGCCAGACGCATTCCTGACTAGAAGGATTATTGAACTACATGAGCTTCAGATGACCAGTAACTTTATCCAGATCTTGACTAGGTCCAGGTCCTACACCCAGGACAGTTCTGGAGCCCGGAGCAACCTGTGTTCGTCCAGCGTCTTGTATGAGGCTCACAGTTAGTCCTGCTGCTCTTGCATTTGCTGCTACTTCCAGCAATGCCGCCTCGTCGTCCACTTTCACCACAACCTGAACATGAGTTTCGTCTTAAAGATTTGCTTTCACTAATCCAGGTTTGAAAATTAAAATACAAGGCTTGATTTATCCACTTACTAGTCATAAACATGACTTTCTTTGAAGGTTTTTCAACTAATGTAATTGTATCAGGTGAAATTCAAACATTCCATTTGAATCAGTCAACATAGTATCAAATGATGTTACAACTAATGCTGATGAGTTTTAGAGACAACAAACAAAAACTGAAAAATAGATTACGAAATATATAAGAATAATAGTAATATATAATTGGACTGTTCATGATGCTTTAAATAGAAAAACGGCAGGCACATCTCATGATGGTTTTCAAGCAACAGAAATAGTCATAATTTGTTTTAAGCTGTAATTTATAGTGCAACAAATAATAAATAAATCTGTCTCATCTAACTCAGTAGGAAGGAGAGGACTAAATTTGATTAATGAATGGGTTCTGTACCTTATGCTAAATAAAGGCTTGCACACAAACCTTGGGCTGTCCAGATTGTTCCCAGGCCCTGAGAGCGGCCGGGTTTCTGAGAGTGCTTTGCTTGAAGGCCTTCAGCGTGGCATGAGAGCACTGTGCTGCCATTTTACCCTTGCCCATCTTCAAGTCATTTCGCACCACAAGGACAAGCTTCTGCTCTCCTCCACTTTCAGCTAGAAACCCATCCTGTTGGACACAAGCGCATTAACTCAACAATTATGATTATCAGCAATAGTAATGGATATTTGTCTAGCAATTAGTGATAATTTGATAAGTAAAAATACAACAATTTCAGTTTTACTGACACATAAAAATTTCAGAACGCTATCAGTTATGAAAAGGAAAGCACTGCAGAACAGTGAGATAAAATCATATTTTAGTAGCATCTTAAGATCTAATACTTTGATTTAACCTAACAATAATAAGAAAAAGTTCTTGCAATTTCTTTGTCAAATATAAAAGAATTTATTATATAAATAGCAATGAACGCGTAGATGCCATATCATATTATATACCCCAAGCAGCAGGTATTTCAATCACATGAAATGGTAAAAGTAAATCCGAGCTCAGGGAGCTTCATATGCAGCAACTAACAAAGAAATGAGCCTTAATATTTTCTTGCATGTTTACACGGGGGAGTCAGAACAATTATAAGGAGCTAAAATACAAACCCAGTCTCTGAGACTGAACGTTAATTGGCAGGAGAAAATACAAATTTTCTGAAAAACTTGGCTTCAAGTAAAATCTTAATTTATTGTGAAATAGAAAATTCAGTAAAATTATTCCTTTCATTTGTACTTACTTCATCCCACACATCTTCTTTGTGTCTTCTTGTTAGAAAAGAGTTTAGAAATAGACCAGCTATTAAGCCTATTCCAAAAGTTATTAAATTGGATGTCTCCAAAGTAGCTGAAAATTTATCCATCACGAATCACATTAATTTCTTTATTAATAGCCTTGAAGTAAAATTATCATAATATCTGCAATAGTAAAATCATAAAATAATTTGGTATATTTATTGATACAAATGATTCAACTAACACCTTTTGCACAACATAGATACTGTTAAACGGGGTAATAAGGGACAGTTTTGAGCATTTTTTGTTAACCTTTTCACGGGTAAGTTATCATATATGGTAATTAAAATGGGAGTAAAAAACGGCCCTCCACGTCACCCACGTTGCTGTAAGCAGCCCGCTAGCAAGCTCCAACCAATCACTGATCGTGTATGAGTTACGTCATGTATGACGTAGAGCTCTGGCACGCTCTTACGTCTGTGTGAGCTGATTTAAAAACTAAGTACGGTACTCTGGAGAAATGGCAAAACGGCATTTTGGGCCATCATCGTATTTACTTTAGCAGCTCTAGCCCATGAAGAACTGTAGGTAAGTCCATGATAGTTGCAAGTATCATAGTTAAAACTTGCTTTATAAACTGATTATGATGCCATTTACTTGAAGCAAATGCATGATGGTAAAATAAGATGGCAAAAAATAGTGTGATCACACTATTATTATTATTAATACTGTGATCACATTGGTGGGCATATGCCCACCAATGCTTAGAGATGGAAGTGACTTTGTTTAGACATATGCTCGCTAGACGTAAATTTTTACAGCGCTTGGTAAATATGTTTTTTAGCCCTGAGTGGTTAGCAGTACTATGATTTAAGCCATGTTTTTCAGTCTAATGTACCTATAGTTCACCACTTGATGCTTTCCCTGACTTTGACTGCAGTCCAAGCTCTTGGCATTTCCTTCGCTACAGAACATCAAGTTAACGTGGTTGCAAGCAAGATGGTCTCTGCACTGACCCAGACAATAACATATCCTTCACCAATACTAATTCTTAGTAACAATTTTTTCACAAGTTTCAAGTACTATACCGGTATGTTGTATATGAATTAGACACTTTACATGCAGCACGGATGTCTCATTATATGGATGGTCTGGAAATATCTTGCCATAAAAACTAAATGTAACTATAATTTTGTACATCTTGATGGCTTCCTTTGTATCTGTTATAATACAAGCATAAAAGACAAAGAACAATCAAGCTGTTTTTTACCATCTAAAGAGTAAACTTTCAATGTCAAAATCAGCCAATTTTTTGTACCTTAAGGGGACCGACCTAGCTAAAATTTGAAAATGTTGAGTTTTTCTGTTTCTTATCTCATCTTAAAGGTTGTTTTCTTGCGCATCGAACGATATAAGTATCGTCCCTGTGCGTCGAAAAATGACTTTGTGACAGCTCCTCAAAGGGAGGTGGGTTTTAATCTTATTTTTACATTTTACGTATGTATGTGAAGTTTCATGATGATCGGATAATAACTGTAGAAGTTTCTCCGGAGCTAGGTCGGTCCCCTTAAGCTGGCAAGTGGCAAGGCCTCATATATGATCACTTCATTAATTGTGATTTACTACTTAGATAGGAAAATTTTTTTTAAATGCTTACGAATAAATATATCTTAGAATTCATCATACGTTTAAGTATAATAGGTAATCAAATATTGCAATTTCATCAAATTTCTATGTACGCCCGGGAAAGGGTTAATAACTTCTTACTGTGAAACATTTCATATACCAGTTTGGGATCGAAAAACTCTTTGTATGGGCTATCGTATGGCATTTCCTAAAATAACATATGCAGACAGTGATATGCTATTTGTAAGGTGCCAGATGCAAAATAAAAGTGTCCTGAATTACTCCTGGGAACGGGGTAATCCAGGACACTTGAAATAAATTTTAATTTTAAAACACGTGAAGCATGCAATGTGTAACTTATCCATTACTAACAGTAAGATCAAGGCATCAAGCAGGGTAATAAGTGACGGGTGGGTAAATTGGGACAGGCGTTCCACATTTCGTAGCTAGAAGTGTTGTAGCAGCTAAACTAATAACAAAATTGCAATACTAAAAATAGGCCACTGTTTATGACCATTTATTACCCCACTTTGGCCATCATTATGAACCTGGCCGAATCACCTAGTTGACGGTACCATATTATTGATGGGATATTACTGTATTATTGATGTGATATTACGGTATCCATGAACATGCCAGTGAGCATTTACAACAACCTTGTCCACTGCAAGCTTCATATCAGCAGCATCATAGCATTTTTTCTGTATCTGTAAGCTTACAGGACGGCTTGTAATATTATGTAAGTAAAATTTTTTAATACGGCAAATATTTTTTTTTTTGCTACAGACCTTAGCAGAAGTAACTTTTCAAAATAGCTTTTTTCACCATTTTTTTCAGGAATTTTTCAAAGCTAGTAAATGTCGTATTTTTCGACTTCCTTTATACTACATAGATAGGAAAAATGTTGTTGTTTAGGCCACTATATTTAGTTTAGCAATATTCCAATTAGTTTTGCTACTATGACTATTTTACGACGTGTCAGAGGTGCGTCCCGAGTTGCCCCGCCAGTCCCGAGTTGCCCCGGTTGACGGTATAACATATTTTATGTTTGACAGCCTATTTATGTTTTTTCTTTATGTTTCAGACTCTACAGAGTCTTATATATGGTAATTTCAACTTAATTTCCAAGCCAGTCAATATTACCCCATCAGGGCTGCCATTAGGTAGTCACATTTCTCTCATTATGGGGTGCCAGGGGTGGCGCCCCCTATTTGCAAACTATGACACTTTCCTCAAGTTTGTCATTTGCATATGTAACTAGAAGAGTTCTATTACAATGCACCAAATCCTGGAGTTATTTGGAGCTATTTTACCAAAAAATATAATTGATTTTACCACCCGGTCTAAGTTACCCCAAGAGCTGGGGTAACAAAGACCATCACTTTTTTTGGAAATTACATAAAGACTATGAGAGGCAGGAGCCAGCAATTTATGGTGAGTGAAGCTAGAGTATAGGCCTGTATTTTGCATGTTTCAATTCAAGTTTAATTTAGCTAGTAAAAAAATGGCATCATTATTAAAAAAAAGTGGTCTAAGTTACCCCATTTTACAGTACCAGATTTCACAAATCTGGTATTTTCAGGTGTCTGGTATGAATATTTTAGATCTGGTATATATGCCTAAATCTGGTATTTTTCTGGTATTTTCTGACTTACTGCAAATTTACTGCATTAAGTTCCACCTCTGAAGTTTGAACTTCCTCCAGCGTAGGCGTGGATTATATTATTATTATATAGATTGCCTTCAGAGTGGCGCAATTAGAGCTTTCCCACCATTTTGGAACTGCATGTTTACCGCTTGATGAAATAACCCCAATTTAATTGTTAACATTTAACAAAAGTGCTTGCTATTTAATTTAACATGCAAACGGATGTCATGTCAACTGGAACTCGAACACCACAGCAGAGAGTATTTTATGCAGCTAATGAATTTCACAAACTTTGCTGGAAGAGAGATTATTGAATTTTAGAAAAAAGGTGGGATAATTCAATGAAGGGTGGTGGCAGAACTGCAATCTTGATACTCTATTGCGATTCGTGCTATGATAACCTACGTAACAATTTTCATTGGGATTGGGAAACCATAATTGCTCAAATGAAGCAAAAATAAACAACAGACCATTGACTTATCTTGCAAATATATATATATTCATATTTTGTACTGCATAGTATAATTACTCTCTGTAATTATGCCATATTGACCTAATTTGTATAGTCCATTTACTCGCATTGTTATTAGGTATTGATCATGTCGATTTTGCCAGCCAGATGGATGTCGGTAATGTAGTCCCAACATTGGCATGCAGGATGGTACTGTTGACGTACAGGTTCATACCCTACTCGCTGCAACCAGTCCAGTCATTCATTAGAAGGCACCGATGGCACATCTAAAGCCATGTTGCCTTCTTTAGTTCTGTAATTCATGACAAATAAAATTGTGATCTATGAATGAATATTCATTACTGTGCTGACTCTTAGAACCTGAGTTGACACGTTAGCAATCTAGTTAACTCCTATCCAACCACAACACAATGCGGATACACGTTAGTGTGTACGGTCAGTGTGATTACGTAATTTGCACTGCCACGCGTCCATATTTAAACTATTTTAGCTTTCTAAAAGTACGGCGCACAGCGCATTTTTTTACCAGCATAGTAAGGCGTACCGCGCAGGTCATTAAAATCCATGGTCAGGAAGATGTGCCAGGTGCGCGGGAATTTATTTTGTCATTTTAACGATCTGCGCGGTGCGCCGTACTATGCTGGTAAAAAATGCGTCGTGCGCCGTACTTTAGAAAGCTAAAATAGTTCTACTATTTTAGTCGACAATATATGCGAGTATATTGACTACGCGAGTCGAACTGACAATAATAAAATGTAAGACATGTCTGGGTTACTTCTGACTCTTCCGCTTGTCCGCCTTGTCGGATACGGAACGTACGGTAATCGTAAACTGCGGCTGCTATACATACGAAATGTAAACAGACGGTGTTCAGTGTTGCCATTATGCCATATGACTTTGGAGAAAATTTCTTCTAAAATAAAGTTCTAGATTTCTCATTCACCAAATTTCCGTATCAAGAAAAATCATATATTATTGAAAGATAATTAAAGGCATACTGTACTGAGTAATGTGAGTATTATGTCTGTTCCTCCACAAACTGCTCGTGCGTGGCAGCGCGACATAGAATTGATGGCTGGGATTGCACGAACACATGCGCGAAGATAATCAATTTTCATTACATTGCGCCAACTGTGCACAGCAATAGCTTAAAAAAAGTGAAAATGTGAGAGAAAATTCACCGAAAACATACATCATCCTGAGTGTGGCATTTTTCTGAATCCCCTTGACAGTTGACCCCGGTATTATTGCAGATTAACTACATCCAAAAAAAGGGTGTTTTTTTTTAATTATATGTTTTTTGGGGTGTAGATTACGAATCTGAAATCCATTTAAACCAGTACTGTAGTACATATACCATATTTGGGGGCGGGGCTTATGGGCACAACCAATCACAGCTGGAAAGCATCCCCATCAACCAATCACAGCTTGAAAGCATCCCCAGCAACCAATCACAGCTGGAAAGCATCCCCATCAACCAATCACAGCTTGAAAGCATCCTCAGCAACCAATCACAGCTAGAAAGCAGATAACATTACAACTCCATTAACCAATCACAGCTGGAAAGCTGGAAGGGGCTAAAATCACAATCCCATAAACCAATCACAGTTGAAAAGTGATAGGATGTGTATAATGTATATAATAAAATGGACTGGAAGTGGAAAGTTCCTGGACTTTCCAACCTTTCAGGTCTTGCTTTCCAATATGCTATGTGTACTGGTTAATTTAATATCCCTCTAGAATTCCACACTGTATAATAGCAAACCAGAACAAGATGGTAACCCCTCAAAATTTGCCCCAATCCCAGCATGTAATGCATTTCCGTCACATGTGTGTATAGTCCATAGTGGCAAAGCAGAGAGTTTTTTAGACTCTCCCTCAAGTTTAATTTTGAGTACTATAAGTAGACCAGTAAAGTATCATGGATACCAGCATTATCATACATAAGAAATTGGTATAAATATTGAGTAAATGAGAATTTAAAAATGAACTGATTCTAAAAAATCTCTGGTTTGCCACTATGGTGTATACTGTGTAATCTAACTGCTCAATATTTGCTGTTTTTCCATCAGCAAGCTCATTGGAACTGGAAGCTTCCATCTCACAACTCATTAGGCTTGGAAACTGGAAAGTTTTCAGGTTTGTTCATATTTTGAACTCAAGAGTCACTAAGTAGTTTATTAGCTGAATTATTTCTTAGCTGCTTTGTCATTGGTGCAGACTCCGAAACGGAGGTTTCAGTCTCACTCTCTGCCAGGCTGCCTCCGGTTTAGAAGTCCCAGCTCCCAGATGAGACTTGAGAGGCTAGTTGTTCTCGCTTTTTTCCTACGTTTGCTCCCACCCCGTCCCATATTCCAAAAAATGAATGACGTAACCACCTAAAGCTTAAACAAAATTTGAGATAGTTACTCGCGATTACGATGACCTCTTCTTACCGATCACGTAGGTAACCAGATTTTTCCCTATAAACGACGAGATGTTTACTCGATGATCGCCGGCAATAGAATCCGTCTCTGACAGCCTGACAGGCATCCCGCCTGGAACAAGCCGTACGAGTACGATCCGCAAATACTGAAATTTCATACATTAACTGTTCAAGAAACAGCAGTAAAAAAGGATGCAGGAAACGATAATTTCCAAGCAGGGATACTAATTTATATCTTCATTACACGCAGAAAAAATTATCATAGAGTCACATATTGACTTTTGAATACTGAGAATGGCTTAACTTGAATCATGGAATGCTCCCAGCACAAACGTTATATGTTCGCAAAAATACAAACGTATAAGTAGCGAAGAAATACAAACATGGAGTTGTGAAGATCGGAGGTCGAATGCCGAAACCTGTTGCAGGAAAACTAATTTTCAAACATTACAATAATCTAAAGTTGTTACAAAAATGTTCGCTCGAGTTGGTTTCGGGATTGTTGAATTTATGACAACGCGATTGTCACAGAGAATTTGATAGCCGGTGCGCGACCTTCAACATAGGAGTTTACTTCAGTAACATGGATACGGACAAAATTTTGTTGCCCCCATCTACGTAACCTGTTTGCCTACAGCTCGTTCTCTACCTACAGCTACACCCTAACTTTCGGAAGATGGCACCTTTATATATATACGCATCCCTAGGGGGGCAGGACAGATTGTTGTGGTCGGTAATGCTTATTGATTGAACTATGAGGTGGGGGTCTGGGGGACGACAGTTCGATACCCCCGCTGTGGGGTAGGAGGTTTTTCAGAACTGGTCACTTCGTCAGAAGTCCCAGCGTGGGGATCGAACCCTCGCTCTTCAGATCCATCCAACTAGTCCAAACCGACGCCTCTAACCACTGCCCCAAACTGTCCCATAAGCTAGAAAGATGGAACTTGCATTTGAATTGCGTAACTTCAGCTAATAAATTATTACTAAATTCACCCGTAGTTACCGTCTACATGTTAATATAGAAGAATTATTTCCTTACATGCCATGGAATTATTTGGTGGGGGTGTCATAAAGTCTACGGAATTTGCTCCTGACATTTAACTACCAAATCAACATTCATCTGCTAGGCAACTATAGTGTCTGTTGCAGAACTTTCTTATAAGATTTGAATCTCATCACAATAAATTTGGAATACCTATATTGTAGCCAAGTTCAAGCCATGTAAATTTCTGCTGGGGCAAATTATTGTCACACGTTTTATAAAACATGTAATTTTAAATTGGTTAAAAGAATCTTGCAAAGAAGCATAGATAAAGTCAAAGATTATCGAAGTAGTGATTTTCGGGGCGACACCGTTTCATGAATAAACATAAATTGCTGCTGCTGGAGGCAGCGACACCAGCCCAACTGATACAGAATTCCGGCGAAAAAGACTTTTAGCTACAAGCGCCCGCTTCCAGTAACTTTCATCTAAAGAAGAATATGCCCGATATTTGAAGTGGTAAGAACTTGTCGTTAATAATACCGGTTAATACTTTAAAAAACCTATAATGTTGCAAATCACACGATGTGTAAAGTAAACTTAGGTTTTCAAGAATGCAAAAATTGCATGTAACGCAAGTATGTTACATTCGACAACGAATAATAATTACTGTGTGTAGTAAAACTTTAGCATTTATGTCTCTAAACTTTTGCAAACACAATTATTAGGTATGTTGTTGTGGATCTGTTATATATATAATAATGACATAAAGTTACACTTTGAAGAGAATTTAAACTATCCACCAAACATTAGTTTAGAGCGCTTACACGTGCGTGCTGGGGAGAAACGAACGGGTGGACGGAAGTGTCAGTTAGCTACATTTTGTTTTGTTGTGATATTCTGACTGCCAACCTATATTATTGTATTCAAGTATACGGTGAGTAAAAAGTTTAAAAATGCGCGAAAACTAATTGACTCAAATTCATTACTTGATCGTGAGTGAAAGATAGCAAATTTCATTCACTCCTATCTGCTAAGATTATATTCACATTGAGGTTAACTTTAATAAATTGGTGGTACTCGGCTGCGCTCCTGAGTCCCGACACAGTTTTGTGTTCCTTCATGGTTGAGCCAGCTAGCCAGGTTGGTGGTTTGGGCCGGAACGATGCTCCTGAGGAAAGAGTCGGGGAAAGTGTCTTTCAAAATGATTTTAGTGACCAGCAGTGTCGGGGTTTCGGGTTTCGGGGATTTCGAGTGACCAGTGCAGGTACTAACTTGGTAGAGCAGTCTACATCTAGCAAAAAATCTTGTTGCCTTTGTTGCCCTTTGACAGTGCTTTGTTCTTTCAAAAATCCTTCAACGAATAGACATTGCCGGCCGATTGGAAAGCTCAAGTGACAGCATCTTTAAAAAATTTGACAAGAGTAGACTGGGCACCTATCGCCTTGTCAGACTTTCAAGTGTTTTTGTAAGGTAATGGAATCTAAAAAGTGCAGATGCAAGATGATCTTGATAGTTAGCGAACTGGGCTGATACGTGGCAGCTTCGTTTCAATGCGGACAAGTGCTAAGTAATTAACCTTGGTAAGAACAATGATCCGCAGGATCACAGTATGAGGAAACATAGTTACAACGACGGAGTGTTAATGGAGAAGGCGATAGTGGGAAGAGTGTTGTGAAAATATGTTGACAAGAAGTTAATGCAGGTTAATAAGGCCAAAAAATGCCAGGATTGATCAGACCAGGATAGTACCAAGATGCAGAATCGATGAAGATGTTGTTGTTGTGTTTTTGTTGTTGTTGGAGAACGCCTTTGCGGTTCTCCAAAACTTGAAAAGGACAAAAATTAAGTCGAGTGTTCAAAGACGTGCAATAAGGAAAATTCCAGGCTAACAGGGCAAGTATGAAGATAGATTAGCGATTATGAAACTTTCAAGTCTTTGAATATATATCACTTGTTTGCTTAAATCGCAAATTAACTAAGAATTTAAAAGCAAAGAAAAGTCCACAAAAATTCATATCTTTATAGAAAACGAACGGGTGGTGCTTAACGTTTTCTATAAAGATATGAATTTTTGTGGACTTTTCTTTGCTTTTAATTTCAAGTCTTTGTAATCGACGTCCGCGTGGCGACCTCATTGAAGTACACTTGTGTTTTGCACATGGTCTCAGGATTCCTAGAATTTTAAATAAGAACCAACACCAGGGACCAAGGTTACAAACTAAAATAAAAACTGCGGTGCAACTCATCCATGCGACAACACTTTTCGCTTCGAGTCAGCGACATTTGGAACAGCCTTCCTGCTGATATCGTTTACGCTCCTGCTATGAACAAGTTCAAGAACAAAGTAAGCAATGCTATGCAGAGGTATATGCTTACATTTGGTAAGCCTAGCACCCTGTGGAGTATGGACCTGATAAAAATCCTGTAGCCATTTCAAACCAACGTCGCTCATGAAAAAGGCTGGTCCAAAGGCCAGTTTTTAGATCCTCTGTGAACAAATCACGATAAGAACAAGAATTGGCAAGAGGCCATTGACCTTCAGCGCCGAATGCTCTATGTTATGTTATGTACATTCTGGAAAGTGATAAAACTTATCCGGAATAATCACCCCGGATTTCCACTGAAAGTTTGAAATTGCCTCAATTTTATCGCTATGCGGAACAATGAAAATTTCCTCTCTAACTAAAAACAACGAAACGCAGTTGCATGTAAATCACAAACATGCAAGTCAGAGATTCCTAAAAGCCACCGCAACCATCACAGGACTTAGGGCCAATTCCAGTCAAGTGACAATCAATTATATTCGCTTCCAGGAAGTGATTACACGAGTATTATGATTGTGCCTTGTTCAAACGTACCCATAAGTAAATTCTACACACTCAATAACTATAATTTCGAGATACAGCTTCATTTAAAATTCATGTGATCACATATTTCTTTATTTACTAATTTAAACTTTTAATCAACATTAATTAGATACACACGATAACTATGCCATTCAAAATAAAATAAAATACAGTGATTAGCAATTAATAATACATGTCAAAAAACCGATGAATTGAGGCTTCAGAACAATTTCAAAAGTGTCGGATATGCACAACTTATTGGATGTAAACGAAGTGACGCAGACATTTACAATAGCTGCTTTGAAAGGCGGGTAAAGTCGCAGAAACAATTCTCCACACTTCCTCCATATACTGTATAATTCCACTAATAAACCTCAAGTGCTTAACTACTCTAGGTATCTTAAGTGTTCACCTCCTCGTTCGTGCTTATGCATTTTTTTTTTGCAAGACCACATCAAAATCGTGCGCGGTGTGCCATCTACAGTCACTTATGAGTGAAACTAAAAAAGCTTGTTGAATACATTCATCAAACATCAATCAATAGAGGATTGACCTGACTTCATTGCAAAAAACTATCCACTGACACCTATGTAATTGGCTCAATATCGCATTTATCAGCTGGTTCATTTTGTATGCCTGAACATTCGAAAGCAATGGGTGGTGACAAGTTTTCATTAAGGATTTGAGAAGAAAGAATAGCAGGCGGCAACGTTAATAAATACTATCATTAGACAGTCGTAAATTATATTTTATTTACGATTAATTCATGCCATTAATGAGAAGTGCTTTTGATTGCAAAGATCAGACTAGCTAGCTGATCCATATACAAGAGGATTCGACGGCTACGTGATATTACTTTTCGTTGCACGAGCATGCATTTGCAAGAGAATGTGTTCTTCATGAAATATTTCAAAAATAAATGCTTCTATTTTTTAGTACAAACCGCTTCTCAAGAACCTCTATGGAATAGAGCTTCTAATAAGTGAAGAAGAATTCAAGAACAAATGGAATTGCTCTATGTTCCCAAGCGACGAGAGTTTTAGTCGCTAAAGAAGATGGTTTTGGGCTGCACATCCTGCTGGAAGATGGGCGTCCTCTTTCGCTGAGCGCGGTGGTCCGCTGCCAAGGCTTCCTTCAGCGCCTGGGACTTCGAGACGTCGAGTTGGCCTTCGAAGTAAACGCTGTTGACGTACTGCAGCAGCTGTCCCAACTGCTCAATAATCCAGTTATAGTCAGGATATCATTGATACTCTTATGAATATTACACATACACAAGTCAGTGTATAATATGATCACAGCTAAGCTACATGAATATTTTTAGTGATAGCTGTAGTTACATTATATCTAATAGTGCGATGAAATAACACAAGTACAAAGAAAGGATTAGCTTAAATTCTTCAAAGTATTGGCATAAAGAAACAGTCACAATGTGTTAATGCATGTAGCTTCACCAGCATTGTGTGACTGTCCCTGTTGCCATCGTAGTTTTCAGTGAAGAATTATATTTTTTACATATATATATAAATGTTTTGTTGGTAATGTAAGTTATTTTCTATGCTCACATCGTGATTGATGCAAGGTCTATCAACAAAAAGTGCATTTTTTATATAAAATATGTGAGCGATCAATAACCAAGCTGAATGTGTGCTCTTTATGCCCCAAATCAGCGAAGAACATTTAAGAAAAATACAAACCTTATCAGGCAAATCGTGATTGCTCTCATCTTGCGAGGCCACGTGTTCTCTTTTGTTCAAATTCACTTGCACTTGGTTTATCTCGTTTGGCTGGAGCACAAGGGTCTTCTTGAAATGTTCAATCATGTAGTCCATAACGTCATAGCGATTACTTCTATTACTAAGGTCTATTTTGATTTCGTTGAAGGCTTTTAAGATGATGGAGAGCATAATGTTGACCAGAACCATGCTGTTCAGCACCGAGAAGATGAAAAAGAGAAGAGGTGACAGTGAATTTGCCTGTTGCATTTCATCGAAGTCAAATTTTCCGAGCATCATCGAGAAGCTGGTCGAGACGGCAGAGAGAATTGTAGTGAACGCGGACAGGTGCAAGGAGAATATGAAATAGAAAAGACAGCAAAAGGCGAAAAATATAACGGCAAATGCAATGAAAAAATATGCCAGCTCGTCCCAACACATCGAAATTGTGAGGGCCAACACGTCCATTCTTTTGTTGAACTGCATGAGCTTTATGAGTTTCAGTAGCGATACAAACATGATCAAGCCTAAAATGGACGTATAATATTGGTCCACAGCAACTGGGTTGTCCATTCGCAGATATGCATTTCCTTTCGTTCTATTGAACTCATCCGCAACCTCGAGAGTTAGAAGCAGCTTGTAAATGTACAAGGCAATCTCCACCCAAGAGAGTATCACTAAACAAAGTTCGGCTATATTCCAGTATTTGAAGAAGTAGCCGCACCTCTCTTTCTTAATTTCAACTATCAGCCTTAAAGAGAAGAATACTGTTGCCGCAACGAACGCGAGCTCACACACAAGCACAAAATTGTCTTTCAAGCTGCTTTCCAGTCTCAATAGTCGAACAGGTTCAAACCTCCATTTGATGAAGATACCACCTCCTTCATTGAACTCGAAGCAAATTAGGCACGTCATGAAAAGGTTTACATTCGCGTTATACACGGAAAACTCCAGGAAAACTGCCCGCGTGCGCCTGTCAATCCATTTGAAGCGTTGGAGCATATCCAGCCTCGCAACAATAGTTTCCTGGTTACCAAGAAGTCTGATAACGTATCCGCCTGCTCCATACGATCCCAGACGCCCCACACTCGGTAAAGTTTTTAGTTGACTCGCTGTTTGGTATTTAAACTCGGGGTAGGTACAGGCTGCATCGGAAAGTTCACCGATCACCCAATTCGCGCAGTAGTCCTGGTCATCTTCTAAAAGCACGTCACGGGACCCCGTGCAGTCTGCAACCGTATCGTTCATTGGGTACGGCACCGAGCACACAAAGCGTGAATTCCTTATCTGCCGTAAAATGGGATAGCCAACCATGCGATTTGCTTTGTCATTCAAGAAGCCTCGGAGACCGTAGGGCGGATCCCCGTTGTACCACCTCTGCGCCCGCGTTTCATTCATGACCGACAGTTTTGCCCAGCGCCAAAACTGATCGGTGTTTCGAAGCTAGAGAAACAGAACGGAAAAATATAAGGAATGAAATAAATCTTGCTGGGTGATATTAATATCTAGATAACTTAAGTTTCTAAAAACCTTTCATCTAATGCGTGCACGATGGCCGATGGCCATAGGTTTCAGAGCTGGATGCAATATATGATAACGAAAGACTGTAGCGGCAGCTCTCAGAAATATATCATAGTGCTTGTGAGAAATTTTTGATTAGAACCGATTCAGATAACTAAATTTAGATGGAATGTATGGACTGTGTACTTCTGTGCATTGCAATGAACTTCATATGATTAAAACAACAATGATTATGAATCGGTATATATATAACATGAAATCGATGTATATAAAATCTCAGCTTGTAGTGAAGAAATAAATGGGAAGTTACTGTCGAATGAAATAAAATATAACTCAGTACTCACTGCAGTGAGTGACAAAGAGCGCATTTTCTGGCCGACGAATTCTTGAGGTCACGGACGGACGGACAGACGGACGGACAGACAGACGGACATGGCGAGCACAATAGTGCATTTTTTCCATAAATGAGAAAATGCGCTAAAAATAAGTCATCAGTTGACGCAAACTAAGTGTTTGCTCTTGTCATTAGCGAAACGCCATAAAGTGATTATTTTAAATTAAATGCGTCCTAATCAAAGAATATAATATGAATAATCCCAAAATAATATTGTAATACACAAGCGAATAATGGGGCAAGTAAAAATATAGGAACAGATGCAGAAAATTTGCAATAATAAATGCTTAAAATGAAATGCTAAGAGAACAATGCAAATTGAAGTACTACTCTATTAATAATTTGCACAGATAAACTCATACATATTCCAAAATTGAGATTCAGTATGTCATTTTCACGTATTCCAACATTCCCTTAAGTATACTGTGGATAAAATTATATTTACCTGATTTGGGAGCCCGAATGCAAGATATCGATCATCAATGAAGGTTTGCTTGAAATGCTTTTGCATCAAAAAAGCGTTGAAGTCCGTCTTGTCGTTAACGACGATGAACAGCACGGCGAGGAAAATGCTATAAATGATAATCCCACGGACTATGAATTTCATGTCTCGGTCTTTAGTGAGTTTAGTTCTCAACTTCTTTATCGTGCCATCGTCGGATGCGACGCCAATGACTTTATGGACATCCCTAACGGTGGATGGATCAATTTGACTCGTGTAATTCCATTTCTCATCTTCCTTCAGCTGGGGCAGTTCTTCGTCACAGTCGATGTCCTCAATAGAGAGGTCAGTAGAGCTGCAAATGCTGCTGAAGATCGAGACAAACACTACTTTTAGCCATTGGCTTACCAGGATTGACACTAGGAAGGATGTGAAGAACGAAGCAAACCACTTGACTGTCGTAATCTCTCCCCAGGTGATGCCATAACTCCAAACGAAGAAAATGGACAAGGCCATAACTGCAACGCAAATAATCCATCCAAGTGGCCTCGTCCACCATGGAAGACATTTTACAACAGGTTTCACTTTTGGTTTAGGTTCCGCGTCAGTGTTCTCAAGAACTTTTGAGCTTTCTGTAGCGTCTTCCTTCGTCAATCCGATTTTCAGAAATTGACTTTTACGTTGTTTCTCGATAGCATCCAGCGCCCTACATCGAACATACTTCCTAGGACGAGCTCGTTTGAAAACGGCACCAAGCAAAGCTGTTAAGGGAAGGACAAAGATGATCACCATCATGCCCTTAATCGTCTGAGAAAGAGCAATTGGTACGGGACCAATCTGCGCATATGCATCAATTGGAGACTCGCCTTCTAGCCGATAGAACATTGCGTTCAGGAGCATAGAAACAAATAAGAACGTAGCGCACACCAAGATCCGTTCTTTTCTACAATATCGGGAACCGATTGGGCGTAAGAAAACGGACATCCATATGTGGTCTTGATTTACATTTCGATTTGTGTTGTTGTACATTCTCTGCGAAAATGTTGACATATCTTCGTTGTTGTCGGCACACAAAAATGTTCGATCCGTCAAACCGTCGCCGCGGTTGAGCGCAAGCCATGCATTTGTTTCGAAGGTGTACTGCTCAAACTTCTGGAGGTCCCGGAACACGACACGTTCAAGCTGCCAACTGTCGTACGGCAACCTGCCTCTATTGTCTAAGAAAACCCGCAGGTAATGCAGCGTACCGAGTGGACCAGCCGTTGTCATTACAAATGTATTCCTGTCGTATCGGCGGTAGAGATTCGAGTTCGCTTTAGGTAGAAAACGCACTTCTGTTTCATCATAGTCACCTGACGCGATAAAATATATCTGCGATTCACATGGAGCGTCCGAATCAGGGCCGGTGAAGAAAGTTACTTCATAAATGTACTTGTCCTCGGGTTTGTTATCGGGCAGAGGGATGACACCCCTTCTTTCAATGTCTTTTCTGTCCTTGTAGTGGCCCCAAATCATAGCAATGGTGAGCAGGACAAGAATTATAATGAGGGTGGCGTAAAGAGTAGTATTATCTATGAAGCCCATGTTTGCTATAAGGAATTCAAAATTGATTTCATTCACCGTTGGGAGAAATCCTGATCCAAACTGAGAGAGATGATTAGTGCCGCATATTGTATGGGTTGCGTTAGCCCTGAGGACTTTCAAGCCCGCAGCGGACCACTGAAGTGAAGGTTCATCGTAGAAGTAGCATCCCTCAATTGTTATTTTAAACTGATAGTTTGAGGAAAACTTTGCATCTAAGTCTTTGCGAGTTAAATTTGACGGAGGCGCGTTATTGAGCAGTTTTCCAATGCCAGCCACAAATCGCCCAGTCCTGTTGTTATTCTTTTCGGAGTCGATGAAGAGTGTGCGCCACCCATCAATGAGGGGAAGCTTGTTTATTACCTCGCTAACGAGGGACTTCCCGGGAAGAGGAAACATTTCATGAGAAACGAGAAGAACGAGGTGGTCAGCATTAGATGAGGGCTTTACTGCGATCAAGTAAGCGGCTTGTGGAGAAGTAATATTGAAGTAGTGATAGACCAAAGGAATGACGGTGTTAATACTGTCAGTGACATTCACTGTCACAGGGTTTACAATAATATCGGGACTCCTGGGTATTTCCATACTGATTAGCCTTGTTGCATTCGTGACGTTCACTTGCTGTTCATTGCTAGTTACCACAAGCTCGAGTATTTTCGTGTTTTTAGCCAAGAAAACTCGAGAAGTGGGATGGTAGTGTGTGATAACAGGCCATGTCAGGAACATCAACCCAAATTCTTCAGTGCAGAATGATTCTCGGAAAATGAATCTCGATGGACAAAAGTCTGGTGGTAGAATGATTGAACTATTGATTTCAATAGGAGAATTGATGGTTTTCCCGTTTTTGAGTGTCTCCTCTCCAATTTTTGCAATATATATTGAAGCTCCGGAGTCGGTACGAGTCTGAAACGATTCATCTTTTACCAACTTTGATGAAACTAGAGCATTTATGGACTGGATGACTACGTTCATCCGTTTCAACTGATTTATACTCTGTCTACTGGTGCTTTCCATTATGCTCTTCTTGTATATTTCGTCCATATTCTCAGGAATTACTATATTCGGATCATCAGATATCGCTCCATCATAGTCCAAAACCCCTCTAGCCGCGGCCTGTCTATCCTTAGGGGGCAATAACTGTACAGTTTCCAAGACCCCATTCATACCTTTCATTAACGCTGTCATCACCGAAAGGGTACTCTTCACGTATGGTTCATACTCATAAGCAGATGCTACAGGGATATTAGGCAAGGAGCAAGAAATCTTTTCTAGAGTTGAAAGGCAATCTTCTCGAGCATCCATCCCTATGGTCAAGGAACCAGCTTTACTATTAAGTATTTGAGACACAGAGCTGGCTAATACATCAGAGTACACGTTTACGTCGGCGATGGTGGTTGGTGGAGCCGACTTCTTCAGAGATTGAAGTTGCTGCGACTTTGAATCCGATATTTCGGCAAGCTTCATCTCTTGTTCACCGAGTGATATATTGTTGAATGCGTTATCCGAGATGTCACTCCACGCGGCATTTGCCGTAAGGGAGTTCAGCGCCTTTATGAACATCGTGAGTTGAGTAGAGTCACCCGCTGCTGTAAGAGCAGCCAAAACTGCTGTCGTGTTGTAAGCCTCCACCATGCTTTTATTTGGCATGATAGTCGTTATGTTACCGATGAAGTAATTGGTAAAGGCGCCATATGAGTCTGAAATTTCTACGAACACACTGAAATTTCCGTAAGGTAGAACTGCAGACAAGCGAGTCTGTTGCGTACTGGCCATTGGCGTCTTGACGATTTTTCCGGTAGGATATTCTAAGTAATAGAAATTATAGGCCGCGATGCCTATGGCTTCAGGGTCTTGCCATCTATCGCACGATAAAATGAATTTGGAAAGAAGGCAGTAATAACCCTGATCCGCTGAAATTCTGCAAGTGCCGCCAGTAGGTGGTTTGTTTTTCTTGATTGAGATTTGAGAGTACCTTTAAGGAAGATAAAAAAGTTGTTATAAGGAAGATAAAAAAGTTGTAATACGGTCGGCGGGTGTTCAATTCATCTACTTACAACATTATTTCTTGTCAGAATAGAAGTTTAAAATAGTATAACCAGATTATCAAAATAACTTAAATATCAATCAAATAAAAATAAATCATGATATTACAATCATAAGTCAATATACTGTCCCAAATAATACAAAGTAGAGGATAAAAGATTTACCGTTTCATTTATTAGAAATTATTGGAAAACTTATTAGTTAGCTAAAATACTACCACTGCCCCATCAATTTTTAAAAATTTCTACGTGCGTTATGAAAAATTAAACTGTAAGTGAGATGTATTGGATGATTTGAAGCTTCTAATCTCCAATCCTTGATAATTTTACAATTCCATAAATCTTTATCCGCTCAAATGTATTTTGGAGCTTTGGTGAGCAGCACATTCAAAGAGGTGTAACTAATATTAGCATTAGGATTACGTTTTAAAGACGTCCTCAACTCTGCTTGTGAGGTTACAAAGTTATTAAAGTATCGAAAGCTCAGTAGTCTCAACCCTTGGGTTACGCAGACCCTATATAGTACAGCGGCCCGCTATCAACGGACTCTTTATATGATGCCATTCGTATTAATCTCCAGTGGGCCTATACTTTCAAAAAAAGTTAAGAGATCGTAAGTTCATCAGCTAATCATTGACGGCCTTTCAAGCAAAATCCACCAATCATAGACAAGAAAATATATCGTAAGTACTTACGTTCACTTAGCGAGTTTTGAAAGTATGGCCCCTGGTACCTAGTGTATCGCAAATTGCAAATTCATTCACCAGTAGAATATGAAAAATTTGATCTGGGTTTATGAGCGAATTTACCCGATCCGATTGTCAGAGGTGACAATGGTGAGGCGAACGGTGAATTTGTCCGAGAATGAATTAAGGTCAAAAAGTGAAGGGGAAAGGGTGACGATCACTGCGCTAGTTCCAGTCTCAAAACCTGAAAAAATTCTACTAATTATAATCATTAAAATAATTAGCTGTTCAAAAATAATTATCCAGCAAAGTCGCATTGCAAAAAATATAATAATTTGAAGTTGAAAGCGTTCAGTTACTTTACCTTCCATTCTATCATTGACTAAAACCAATAATACTTTCGATCATTAAGTTAGACAAAAATACTTTAGTGAACGTACGTATATATGTATGTATTTAATACGTAAGAATATTTCGGAGAATTTCGTTCAGATAATTCAACTAAGAATAATAGATACCGAAAATTTACTGGATTCCAGGGCACCCACATCATTGCTCCAGTAATTCAAATAAAGGTTGTAAACAAATACCATGGAGGTTAACAATGAAACAGGAAAATTCATTACATAGTAAAAAATTAACTGTAGGCATATAAACTATTACTTCTGTCGCAAATGTAACGAAGAACCATTGCCGTATACCACCATTAACATGGATGAAAAGTCTGGCCCGCACTCACTTTGCTTGCAGACAGTCTTGGTCGAGTCGCAGTTCGGTTCATTGGTCACAATGGACGCGCCATTTCTGTGGGGAACGCAATTAAACCTCGTGAGTTATGAAAACGTATATTACACATAGATCTTTAGAAAAAACCTAAACATGCGGTAAGGCTTAGGAATCTTTCTTGTTGGTACATCATAAAAACGAATTATCTTGAAGCTTGCATGAACTGAGAGACCAAGTTACAGCACGTAATAAAGAAATATACCATTACGAGTTCAGTCTACAATATATGCATAATATTGCGACAGGTAATAAATGATTGCACGTACTCCTGCTTAACGTCCCAGCTGTAGTAGCGGGCAGCAGTGCAGTAGGCGGTACAGTTGCCGACAAGAGTGAGGCGCACCGCTGGGTTCACCAAAAACCCGTCACTCTGCGCCAGGCAAAGACTTGGCACCGAACACCTGTAACCGGATCAGAGGAATTGTGAAGGAAAAAAACGCCTTTGAATAAATGAGTATACATGTTTTTCTTGCTTACTTTTTAAGAATTCTTCATCTGCTAGCTAATTCATAGTCTGATATCGCTTTTAGTGAGAAAGAATAAATATGTGAAATGGAAAAGAGATTACATTGCTATCATGTGCAGTATAAAGAGAATGTGGAAAACGAAGAAATCTGCAGCAGATAAAAGTATCGTAACTTCTGTCAATACAACGATGATCGAGTCCCAGACTCCCAGATATTGGCACTTATTATGAACTCGTAGCATTTATCATGACCAAGTCTACGTTAACTGCAATTTCTCGCAGTGACGCGTTTCCGTGTCTCATATGTCTTGATTATTTTGACCGTATACAGTGCACTTACTTTATTGAGACTTCAGGCGGTGATTGTGTTACCACTTTAAGTTCAAGTGTGGCTACTGCTCGTCTCACATCCTTCTCGACGACAGCCGTAATCTCGAACGTTGCCTCGGACATATAAAATGAAGATATTTGCAGACTCAGCTTCAAGCCCTGATACGTAAGCATGCCTGTAGATGCAACGGAAAATTTGTTTTCAGCAACCATTTGTGTTTTGAAAGCAACAGCAGAAATTCGAAATTTTCAGGTTAGCTGCTCTCTACCCTTAATTTTTTAATAGCAGTATCTAGGTTTTTGTTTCCACTCAAGTTGATAGCAAAGAGGTGGTGTTGATGAGACTGATTATAGCTAGCTGTCGGTTTGAGCCTAATAGCTATTTGGCTCTCAGCGTACCTACGCAGCGCTCATGAAAACAATGTGAGAACAAGCCGTTATCGGAGTAAATTCATTAGAGATTTGTGGCGACTTAGTCAGCCTTAATCCGTTCAAAAAGGTTTTACTTAGAAATATCCACGACAATACGAGTGATTAGGAAAATTTCGGTATCTCGACTGTGGGGAATAAATTTTAAATCAATTGATATATATTTTCAATAACAGCAAGGGGGAAATTTCCCTTCGTGAAAACCTAAAACATAACCTTCACATACTTCCTGTTGCTGTCACCCACCAGGGCCCACGCCGAAGCATCCGCCACCCGTCCTCCCGACTGCAGTCATGGGTTCTGGGATGGACTGCGGGTTGACCGCTAGTGGAAAGTTTTGAGCGTCGACTTGCAGCTTCTCTGGTGTTGGCAGGATTTGCCGGCAGTACCATTTTACGTTTGTGATCTATAATACGAAAACATCATTACAAGTGGCTACAGAAAAAGTTGTTGTTCCACGCTATGTTATTAGTTAGCAATTAGGAGTTATACAGGGTCATCAATATTTAGCGTTACATTGTTTTTTTCAAAATCAATACACTCGCAAAACAGTCAAATGTGTCGTATGGAACCATGTCGACTGTTCTCCGAAAGGACCTAAAGTTGTCCCCATTCAAGCATGTCAAAAAACACCAACTGTCTGCTCAAGTTGTCGACAAACGCCTCCAAAGATCCAAGATTCTTCTTTCCCGCGTCCATGATGGCACGCTGCCAAACCTCGTTTTCAGTGATGAGAAGAAGAAGGCAGGGTGGCCCAGTGGTTAAAATTCAGAGTACCAAGATTGGCGCAGAGAGGCGCGGGTTCGATCCCAGCTCTGTGCGCCAGTTTCTGGTCAGAATCGGCAAGGAGGCCGGGCGGTTAAGCACAGCAGAATGGTAGCAGTGAGTTGCGAGTTCGAGACCGCAAAATGCTGTGAATGTTCTGCGATGGTAAGAATCGGCGACAGGCCTACGGCCTAATAACGCTGAAACCGCTATTATTATTATTATATTATTAAGATATTCAATGTTGAATACCACTTCAACTCCCAAAATGATCGAATTTGGTCGAAGAATGGGACGAAGGATCCCGTGTGGTGACTAGGAAGCAATGCCCGACCTCAGTGATGGTCTGGGCAGCCGTAACATAGTCCTCAAGGAGTCCCCTCTTTTTTGTTGACAAAGGGGTGAAATTGAATCAGAAGAACTATCGAGATGCCATCCTTGTTGGTGCATTGTTGCCCTGGGCACGAAAGAACTTAAAAAAACGCCCCTGGTCGTTCCAGCAGGTCTCTGCACCATCCCATGGGGCCAAATCGACTCAGGAGTGGCTGTCCGAGAATGTTCGCCACTTCATTACCAAAGATGAATGGCCCCCATCGTCACCCGATCTGAATCCTCGGGATTTTGGGATCTGGTCATACCTTGAGAGCAAGGTCTCGACCGTTCACCATAGCAGTTTGGACGCCCTAGAAGTCAACCTGCTGAAGGAGTGGGCCAAAATCCCGCAGAGTGTCATTTGTGACTCGTGTAAGGCTTTCTCTAAGCGTCTACAACTCGTTATTGATGCAGATGGTGGACATATTGAATGAAATTGTGGGAATTGTATCTCTGAACCTCTGCCTACAGAAATACATTTTCAAACATTCACAATTGTGTTTCATTCATAGTTCTAACCACTCAAAGTTGTAACGCTAAATATTGATGACCCTGTAATGATGACTGAAGAACATTCCAGGCTTTTTAGGCTTGCAATTCTCGAAAAGAAATTAAAATAGATGAAAATTGTTATATAGGTCTCGGTTTATAGTACATATTACATGAAGATTTAGATAATTTTAATATTACTACATTAATAAATGATAGCTCAATTGGCATGGGAACCGGCCACACAACAAGCACGATTGCGAGACATTGGACCCTAATAAGTAAATACCTTCATCATTGGGTAATATTGATGTGCGAAGCTAGACAAATTTTAATGTCGATGAAAGCGTCCATTTCCCCTCAATAATCGAATGTTTAACGCTCTAGGGTTGAAGAATATTGGCTTAACTTTGATAAAAAATAGTTACAAATATTTATAACTTTCTAAAATAAAAAATTATACGGAAAAGGTGTTGCGTATAAGTTTTCAACGATGCGACAGGACCTTTTCGTATCCTTTCAAATTTGCTACCTGAATATAAAGATGGATTTATAGGAATTGAGATTTTCTTGCTCCTCAATTACCCTGAAAATTTATTAAAATACCCCAGAAAAAGTTTGGAACTTATTCTGAGATTGCTTAAGAGGGCTAACCGGAACACTGGGCTCGTCAGGGTCGACACTTGCTAGCTGTGGGTTGAGGTCCAGACTCTGGGTGAACGCTCGGCTCATGCTCTTGATGCCTCCAGGCAGGATAGCTGCACTCAGGTTGCTCTGTAGCACATTATTAAAACATTCTATAAGTATAAATGAGTTCCCACAAATTTTTTATCTGCATGAAACCCCGTAGGAAATATGAAAAATGCCTTGCTTGCACCTCGAATCTACGAAAAGAGGGATCATGAAGACGAGGTGTCTTAACTTGGACAATGTGATCATACTGGCATAGAAAACGCAAGTCTCTAACACAATTCCGAGTTGGAATTCTACCAGACTGATGAACGGATAATAAAGTTGTGCAAAGTATATTAGGCTACGGCCAGACTACAAGCGTTGACGCTTACGCTGGCTGACACTTCAAGCAGAGCGGGGTATATGGTATATGGTATATGATATATGGTATAAGGTATATGTGGCGCCCCGCTGGACACAATAGACGCTGAACCACGCAGCATTATTGCCAGCATACGGCGAGTCAGTGTTTTGCCGTTTGACTTCGAGTGAGAAAGTGTATTTGCTGAGTTCTCATATGCAAAACCCTTTTTTGAAAAAGATAAAACCGGCATTCACTTTATCAACAGTGCTAGATCAGAGTGTAAGGTATATCATCATCTGTACTCTGATCCGAGTAATAGCCCAGAAGAATTAAAGGAATACACAAGAATGACAGTGGCTACATTCCATGAGCTATCATAGACCACAGGTTGCTGATGTACATCCTGTCGCTGTGGTATCCCACAGGCATCCCACATACCAGGTACGAGGGAAATTTACGAGGGAAATGTCTCAACATCCATACCTCACGCCCTCTTCATGTACACTGAACGCGCTGCGCAGCGCCGAAATGTTTGTCTAGAGTAACGGGTTTTATTAATCGTTTTGCGCAGCGCGTGTCTGCTTGATGCAGCTCCTGGATTTATGCTTCTACTATGGCCACTCTGGTACAAATACATTAATGCATACCTATAATATCTCAGCATCAGCCAGTCAGCCTGCGTCAGCGTCAGCGCATTTTTAGGCCGTGTACGAACAACGCTACGTGCTCGGATTTTCGGATAAAATTATTATGAAATATCTAGTCTAGCGTTTAACGGCGAAAAAAGCAAGCAAACCGTTTCAGCGCAAATGATCTGATGCATTGCGTCCTATAGTCAACAGTCACGTTACAGGCGGAGGAACGTAGCCTTGGCTTACCCTGATGATCTGGTAGTAAGTGTAGTCACTTTGGACGAGAGTGATGGTCTGGGTAGCTTGTACTTCGACGGTGAACGTGAACATGTAGTAGCCGATGTCTAAGAAGAGAGCATCCACGACCAGTGTCGTGAAATTCCAGGTGCTCAGAACTCCTTCTATTGTCACTTGATTGGTGGGATCGCCAGTTGTGCTGTTGACCTTCTCTATCGTCCAGTACCGTCTGATTTCAGGTTATGTTAAGTTAAAAAACCGACACTGTGCTCCTATTCATTTATTTGTATATACTGCAGCAAATATATTGGATTAGATTAATTTCCTTCTTGAAAGGTAAACTCATATCTTATACTCAACATTTTGAAGAGAACCTCATTGAGCTTTGCAGCTTCCCTTCGGCTCCCCGCACATTAGCTCGCTATCATTGGATTCACCCTGCCACTAGCTCGAATTTTTTTTAAATAGGTAAGGTAACATTCATTTTTTACCGACTGTGAATAAACTAAAGTGTTCGCTAATCGAATTCGTCATAGCTCATCATGCTCACTCACTACTGAACCCACTCACTCATTTGGTTTTATATGTACGAAAGCAATTTCATGACCGATGTCCTGCATTTGATAAGAGTGTTCGCTATTAATATGTAATTCATCATTCAGCACCGCTTACTGGTACATTAACATGAAATCGTTGGTCCGTTGCGCGCGATGAGAGTGTATGTCAAAACCATGTTCTAGTAGTTTCCAAATTTATTTCATAGTACGGTTAGAAGTACCATAATACTAACTTTGCGGTGACAGGCTTGGTGCAATTAATGGTTGTGTTCGACATGATCCTCGAAGGGAGGCTTTTGAACTGTGAAGGCGCGTTGTTTATCCTCTTGACAGCGCCTGCCACGCTCACGTTGGGCATCGTACAAGGGACTTCACCGATCACCACGTCCACATCAGACCACAAGTCGCCGGTGCCGAGGTCAAATGCGTATCCCGAAACTTTGTACATGCCTTCATTCCTGAGACGAACGATTATAAAGCAAGAATAAATGTAGAATGTATACCTCATTGATTAATGTTCACGAGATATGCTTCCGGGCCATGTGAGTAGCTCATAAGACCTTACTCTGCAAGCTCACAATTAAGAAAACGCTAAGAAAAAGTGTGATATAGCTGATGACAGTATCGCAGTCAACGTTGAAGTTTTATCTAGCTGGCAGTCATGTATCTATTACCTTCGAAGAATTGATGCCGCAAGAAGAGACAGTGTGATGTCTATAAAATTTATAAAATTCTGGGTGGCTATTCAAATCTATTATCTCCTTGAGTCCACTTGAAGTTCGGCTTCTCTAATAATCACCAGGATTCTTATCCATGTTAGTACTAATAGACATATCCACGGTTATTCTATTCGTTGACGCTCCGAGTATGAACATCTTCAAAAACAGACTAGACGAAGCTATGCAGGAGCATATGTTCAGTCTTAAAATGCCTAGTAAATTACGGACCAGGCAATAAGTCCAGCATCTATCTCAATCAATCGTCAGCTATGGAAAGATCGGGTTCCAAAGGCCGGATCCCTTGTGAATCAAGTCATGAAAAGTACAAGAATCGGCAACAGGCCATGGGCCGATTTCTTCAGTGCCGACACTTCTATTCTATTCTATTCTAAGAAGTATTTCAACCGCAACCTCCATTTCAGCGTCGCCCTTGACACTGTTTTCGAAACAGCTCGTATTAACGATATAAACAATATCTTAACACCTCATAATCGAATTTCATTAGATTTCTACTTAATGAAAACTGAAAAAATGCACGAAACATGAACATTCATTCAGGCATTTTGCTGCTGAATGTAGAATATTAATTATGTATTTCATTCTCGTGTTGGATAGAAAGGAATTTTCTACCCATAGTTCGATCCATCCACAAAGTGGATGGATCGTAGGTGTGATTCAGTTCTGAATCACACCTCACCACTCACGCGTAGGTGTGACTCAGTTTCTCATTTGCCGAGATCATTCCAAAGAAGGGAAGCTCCTCGCCGTATTCATCACAAGCAACTTTGTCTCCGTATGCTTCATCGGTGGATCCATCGCCCCAGCTCATGATAAGGCAAAACGTTGGCGTTAAGACGTCAAAAGTTGAGATCACTGTTTTCGACACATTCTGTAGCAAAGTGAAAATTACGATCAATGAAATATGGTCGCTAGAAGCAAGAAATAAATCTAATAATATTATTAGCTTGATACATGAAGGATAGATGAAATTCTTAAAATGAGATTCCTTTGCTATCACGATTAGAAATAATGCCTTAAATAAACTCTTTCTGAAGTAAAACGTGACTTTCGATTTCTTGTGAAGGGATACTAATTTATATACGAACCTAAATATTTAATTTTCATCTACCGATCAAACTCAGTGAGTCAGAGATCTTGGTTAAAGAATCGACGAACCAAAATGAAATTTATTTCATTATGGATGTCTTATCAAAAAAATTATGACAATTTCCTCATTATTTTATGGCATTAAATTTTATTCCTTTACTAACCTTGTGTTGGTTACATACCGATGGATATGTTCTCAATGCTGAATGAATACAATAAATACAGCACTGATGCTGCTCATTCACCATTTATCTTACTCACTTACCACTGATGTTACTCACTCAACACTGATGCTGCTCACTTACCACTGATGCTACTCACTCACCACTGATCCTACTCACTCACCACTGATGCTGCTCACTTACCACTGATGCTACTCACTCACCACTGATGCTTCTCACTCACCACTGATGCTACTCACTCACCACTGATGCTACTCACTCACCACTGACGCTACTCACTCACCACTGATGTTACTCACTCACCACTGATGCTACTCACTCACCACTGATGCTACTCACTCACCACTGATGCTACTCACTCACCACTGACGCTACTCACTCACCACTGATGTTACTCACTCACCACTGATGTTACTCACCACTGACGCTACTCACTGACCACTGACGCTACTCACTCACCATTGATGCTACTCACTCACCACTGATGCTATTCACTCACCACTGATGTTACTCACTCACCACTGATGTTACTCACTCACCACTGACGCTACTCACTGACGCTACTCACTCACCACTGATGCTACTCACTCACCACTGACGTTCCTCATTCACCACTGACGTTCCTCACTCACCACTGATCCTATCTTGCCGTCGTTGGACAAAGAGAAGCCAGCGATGCTGCCAACGAACGTAACGTTGATAGGCTCGGCGTGCACCCAGCCTTGGAAGGAGTTGTAGGCGCTCAGGTAGAAGGTAGCTGGTCCGATCTACGATTGGGGCGTTAATTTGCTTTGCGTGAGGTAGATTGAGCAAGAAGAATTGATTGTAAATTGTTTGCTATTTGCTGTAATAACTACGGAGGAACTACATGCAAAGGTTTAGAAATTTCAAGCGACGTACGCGATCGATGATATCTCCTAAACAGTATAGGGTGCTGCTTTCATTCGTTGTTATCATTTAATTTCTGTTATTTGAGAGTGAGCATTTGGAAATCATAACGCAAGCTTGGGAAGATGTAAGTATCGAAACACGAAATTAAAAACGGATATATCAATGAAGTTTTGCTTAATTATGATGAGATGTTATTCAAATATTAAGAGCAATTATGTTTTAGAAAATAAATAGAAGTGCGAACTAAATATACTAGTTTTCAAGAATTTGACTGCTCTTTCCACTAACGCCATAGAGCGTTTAAAATTAATAATTTAGAAAATATATACATCGAAATCAGAGGGCAGTCGAGAAACGAAGCTGTATGCAATCGGTCGTTCTGTAATAAGAATTATAACGTAAGTAGCAGCAGAATACAACGAACAGAATTTATTATTTCAATCATCATAAACACGATGAATTAGCGTCTATTGGGATACACGGAAATTATTAAAATATTTCAAACAACCTTGACATTAATGTGCAGAACTTTAATCACAGCAAATTTCAGATTCAACTCCATGCGGATACATATTTTTCGTGAAAATTACAGTAATGACAGAACTATGGCCGGTAATAGCTTTTTCTTTATTGAACGACAATTAAAGTAATCTCAAGTGAGCTTAATCGTGCATGTACTTGTACGTATATACTTACATCAGTGTAGATAAATTTGAACCTATAATCAGGCGTGTAGGTAACCGTCATTTCCATTTTAGTGGGTAGGATGTAAAGCCTCCACTTCTCAGGAGTTCCTGTGAATAATATGAAATCAAAATGGATTGGATACCATTGCCAAATCACTTAATGAACCAAAATTGTTCTTGCTGACATTCAGTGCAAATATCCATGACTTACTTGAAAACACAGCTAGAAATTGAAATTTCACACGGGTTTAAACCTTAAAAATGGATAATCAAACTTGTATTACGGAAAACAAGAATTGGATTTTTGATCGTTTCCGTTAAAGTAACAACTCCTACCTGCGATTTTTTTCTGAAGCCAAGTCTGATGACATAGAAAAAGACCATAGTCTGTGATGGTTTTGTTTAAAATTGAGCATTCACCAGTGAAACAAAGTGAACACCTATTGACAGTATAAATCTTTTTATATGAAACAAATTACTGGTAGGCCCACCTGATGCGGTGCTCGGGTACACAAATGTCGTCGCGTTCGCAATGAAGATGTCACTTTCTGGTCCCCAGCCGCTCCAGTCTCCTTCTGTTTCGTTGGCAGTCCACGTGACGTAACCAGTCACGTTCACGATGCCTTCTAGTATTTCGACCTAAGTGGCACAAACATGTATTTCTTAGCTAGGTAATGTAAAGCAAAGACAATTCTGCGTTTGCGAGAAAAAATACATGATGGTTGATCTGAATTGAACTCTTGCGGAATTGAATAATAAAAATAAATAAAATTAACAAATCATGTCTAAAGTCCATGTCTAGCAGTCAAACCTGCTTGTCGATGCACATCCTTCGTGTTAGGGCGATTATATGCAAACATTGATATCCTTATTTGCAGAGCTGGGCAGCGCTACTTTGAAATTTAGCGGCCGCTACCGCTACCGCTACATGCTCTAAATGTAGCGGGCGCTACCGCTACAATTGCTTATGCAAACATCGACATCCTTATTTGCAGAGCTGGGCAGCGCTACTTCGAAATGTAGTGGCCGCTACCGCTACCGCTACATGCTCTAAATGTAGCGGGCGCTACCGCTACAATTGCTTAAATGTAGCGCCGCTACCGCTACATGCTCTAAATGTAGCGGGCGCTACCGCTACAATTGCTTAAATGTAGCGCCGCTACCGCTACCGAAAATGTAGCGGCCGCTAGTAGCGGCCGCCACATGTAGCGCGCTACTGCCCACCTCTGATTATTTGCAGATAGACGACCTCACCTCCACAGGAATAAGCGCCGTTGACACTTCGTTAGACAGGTTCACACTGAGAGTGAGGTTGCCTGCTTGCTGCGGCTCCAGCAAGTAATGCAGCGACAGTTGCCGCTCATCACCACTAGCGCCTGCGGGGCCTGCGCCGTCAAACGTCCCGAAGTCTTCCACTTGAGGCCCTGAATAGTGGTTCGAATGCACGTTTCAGCGTAAGAAAATGATACAAGGCTAACGCAATGACATTCCGTTGCATCAGAAAAGCTGTCGAAAAATCATGAAGAGCCACTTTCCATCCGTTCAAAAGTATTAGTAGTGATCTCATTTATTTCTTTTAATCCATGTTTTCTGGGGTGGCAACCGGGTTTCGATACTATTTAGGTATACAGAAAAATAATATGGAATGCTCCCTGTCCTCTTGGGTCAGGTTCATTTTCATTGAGTTTTTAGATGATGGTATTCATTTCATATACCACTCTAGTTCATATCATTTACAACTCTAGGTCCCAAAAATGTGCGACAATCTTTTCAAAAGTAAATAAAGCCCTCACATCATTGCGGAGTTTCTAGAAAACTAATTATCTTGCAAATTTATTGGAGCAGAAATGGTTTCTGTCCCTCACCTCGAAATTCGTCCCTCATGCACCCCTGAAATTCTGTCCCCACAGTTAATTGTCATGATACATAATACTTCTTATGCTAATCAAGAAGTTGGTTTTGCCCTTACCAAACACGGTAAGTTGTACCCATGACCCGTTGCCATCGTCCACTTCGTATGTTATTTCTACGGTGAGATTCCAAGGAGGATGTGGAGCAGAAGGGAACGTCAGGTTAACCGTGAAGTAAGGAGGAACGTTGTAACAGGGACAGTTAACTGTCACCTGCCACGTGTCCGTCACTTCGGGTACCACGTGCACCAATGTTGAAAACGTCACCTATAAGTTATAAAATATCAATTATTAACATGTGATACCTTGGATGACAGCGTGAAAAAAAAAGCATTAGTGAAAAAAATGACTGTGGTCTGAAGTCACCTAGCTATGGCATTAATCCAAAAACGACTGGAGATAGGAGTCACCTATGGCATTAATCCACAAGTAGTACTATTGAAATAACACATAATATTGACCGTGATATGGGAAGATTTCTTTGGCATGAGCTTTATGACTTCAAGTATCATTTTATAAAAGAGTAATATGCCTGATTTCAAAAGTTTTCAGAACATTGAATCATGTTGAACAGTATGCTGCGAGTGCGAGATTAAAAAAGAATAAAGTTATTTCTATGGGCAATAAAATAAAAAAGGCATCTTACGTTGCCCAAGAGATTCTTGGCGTAGCCCGTGACGGAATACGCGCCCTCGTACGCGTAATCCAGTGGAACCGACCAGTTGAAGAGTGAGGTCTCAGCGTCTAAAATGTTCAAAGTGTTTGGCGTCAGCTTTAGTAATGATCAGGAGAACATACAGCAATTATTACGAACAATAAATTCAAATTAATTTGTTCACTAAATCCCTGCCAATGCCGATGAATGTTGCAAGGTAAAGGTCTTAAAAATATAACTCAGTACTCACTGCAGTGAGTGACAGAGAGCGCATTTTCTCGTCAACGAAAACTTGAGGTCACGGACAGACGGACAGACAGACAGACAGACAGACAGACAGACAGACAGACAGACGGACGGACGGACATGGCGAGCACAATAGTGCATTTTTTTCCATAAATGAGAAAATGCGCTAAAAATAGTAAAAAACGGTTGAGCTTAGATGAAATCGAGCCATTATATTCTAGTCTGATTAAAATCCGTCGATTTTTAAAAAGGGCCCAGTCGTTTAAGTCTTCTATTTACTGTGTATTCTTACTTCCTAACAATAACGAGTACCATACTACAATAAATTATTGAATATTTAAAAGAACTAAAGTGTTAAATAATGCCGAGATCGCTGCTGGACTTACTCTCATGGTAGGTGTAGTGCGATGAGCCGTCGATGGTCACGGTTGCGAATATGGGTGATCCCTGGTGATGTTGATATGTTAACGATATTATTAATACATTATACCAGTTCATGTTAGATTATTGTTAGGAATATTAATTGAAAGAATTTCATACCATGTAATCAGCAAAATGAACGAATCGCTTAATCAGTAAAAAAGGAAAGTGAAAGAGTCAGTAAAATATTAAAGTGAATAAGTTAGTGAAAAAGTATAGTAAACGAGACAATAAAACAGTAAAATAAAGTAGTCAGTAAGGGTACGCACACAGTGAGAGCAGATTGCCAGCGTGCTGGTTACCTGCTCAGGCTGGCGCCTGAAACCATAGAATACAGAAGCCTGTTCGTACAGGTTTTCACTATGAACACTTACATTATTATCCTATGTTCATTCTTGTTGCAGGTTGGAGCAGGTTGCCCGCGCGGGCAAACCTGCATGCTCTCACTGTGTGCGTACCCTAAAGCAGTAAAGTGACACAGTGCACACAGTGTGTGTGTGTGCAGTTTCTCACAGCAGAAATGATGACCGAATAATCCCTGATCTCAACGAAGCCTTTCCATATTTCCTGTTCGACGGTGACGTTACCCACGGCCGTCTGGCAGGGCGGGGACGCCGAGCCATTTACAGTCGTGTTCAATAACGAACTGCTGACCTGGAACACGTGATATTGTCGTTATTTTTATATAACGAACTGCTGACCTGCAACACGTGATATTGTCGTTATTTTTATATAACGAACTGCTGATCTGGAACACGTGATATTGTCGTTATTGTTATATAACGAACTGCTGACCTGTAACACGTGATATTGTCGTTATTGTTCAATAACGAACTGCTGACCTGGAACACGTGATATTGTCGTTATTGTTATATAACGAACTGCTGACCTGGAACACGTGATATTGTCGTTATTGTTATATAACGAACTGCTGATCTGCAACACGTGATATTGTCGTTATTGTTATATAACGAACTGCTGATCTTCAACACGTGATATTATCTGATTTATTTGAATAACGAACTAGTCATCTGTGGCACATGGAATTATCTTCGGCGTTTAAAAATAATTATTTGTTTTGAAAACAGTTTATTTTCAATTTTTAATAGAAATTCTCACTTCTGAGTGATATATGTGTAATTTTTCTCCGATTTTCTAACACTTCAAATTGGAATCCAGATATTTTTATGTCACAAATTTCCTAATTGTTACCCTAAAATCAGTAAATATCATAAAAATTGGGAGGAGCCACATGGCGGTCTCGCTTGTATCAAAATCGAACAAATAGTAAACGCAGGCTGACAAATAGTATGATAGTGAGACACAGGCTGACAAGTAGCATGATAGTGAGACACAGGCTGACAAGTAGTATGATAGAGAGATACAGGCTGACATAATAGTATGATAGTGAGACACAGGCTGACAAATAGTATGAAGGTGAGACACAGACTGACAAGTAGTATGATAGAGAGATACAGGCTGACAAGGAGTATGATAGTGAGACACAGGCTGACAAGTAGTATGATAGTGAGATACAGGCTGACAAGTAGCATGATAGTGAGACACAGGCTGACAAGTAGTATGATAGTGAGACACAGGCTGACAAGTAGCATGATAGTGAGACACAGGCTGACAAATAGTATGATAGTGAGACGCAGGCTGAGAAGTAGTATGATAGTGAGACACAGGCTGACAAATAGTATGATAGTGAGACACA